TCTGCCTTCCTACTCCTCTGATGCTGCTTGGCCTGCTGTGTTCATCCAGCTCTACACCTTGTTATCTCAGATTCTCCAGCATCTGCAGTTCCTACTATCTCTGAAAGGTTTTTGACATGCCAGGTTTACATTTTTATGGCATTTAGCCCCCATTTGTACTCTGATCTCTTCCTTCCTAATTTGACAATATAAATTCTTCCCATCATTTCTGATGTTGTGTGCAATTAAATGCTGCCATTATAGCCACCTAGGAATATTTCAAAACATGCCAAGGGAATCTCCCATATAATTAGAAAATTATCAACTTTGTAATGAAAATCTGTAGGCACTATGATCCAAAGCGGAAATAAAATCACCTTGCACTCAATTCAAACGTTCTGATGGCGGAGATGCGCATTTCGCTGTCTCCAGCTGCATTTTTCATCATGCTCTGCCCTTTAATACTAGCAGCAACACTCAGCAACTCTTGCTGAACCTTGTAATTATGCCTGTATACAAGACAAAGAAAACTTTACTTTTTAATTCATGTAAATATACACAATGGTTATTTATCAAAAACCTTTGCTTCAATTAAAGAGCATTGCAATTTCACAAGTTGGGTAAGTTCATTTGCTCAGTGGGACACTCAAGACCAAAGAGTCCGATTTAAATCCTGCTGGGTTCACTCAGCTTTTCATTTATTCAAGGCAAAGTAATTCTGTCACATAAACAACAAAAAAGCAGTGTGTAACATATTAATGCATTGTCTCCGGAACATGTAAACGTGGAAGTAGAGAGCTGGTCGGCACCTATCATCTTCTGCAAAGAACCTCTCACTGGATTCATTGTTTAAATTCATTTCTGAGACTCCAATGAAAATGTTTTCGTTCTGCACGCAACAAAGTACCACTCGAAATAAACACTGGCTTCCCAATTTCTCAGCTTAATAGTTAGTAACAAGGGAGAACCCAAGAGAGTTATGGTGAGGTACAGCTAGGTGTAATTAGTATACATGTGAAAACTAACATATTTCGGATGGTGGTATTCCTATTTTGTGTTGACACCTCATTTTTCACCTCATGAATGCCCAGTCTTCAGTTGCAAGACCTGTTCAAAGTCTGTCCCATTTAGCACGGTGATAGTGTCACGCAACGTAATGGAAGTTACACTCAAATATGAAGATGGGACTTAGTCTCCATAAAGACTATGCGGTGGTCACTCCTACCGATACTGTCATGGACAGATGCATCAGCTGCTGGCAGATTGGCAAGGATGAGGTCAAGTATGTTTTTCCCTCGTTAGTTCCCTCACCACCTGCCATAGACCCAACCCGAGCAGCTGTGTCCTTTATGAACCGACCAGCTTGATCAGTAGCGCTGCTGCTGAGGTACTCTTGGTAGTGGACTTTGAAAACCCCAGAGCACATTCTGCACCCTTACCACCCTCAGTGCTTCCTTCAAGTTGTTAAACATGGAGGAGTACTAGTTCATCAGCTGAGCAAGGACTGTACGTAGTAATAAAGAGAAGGTTTTCCTTGATAATGTTCTACCTGACACCATGAAATTTCATGGGGTCCAGAGTCAGTGTTAAGGACTCCCAGGACAACTCGTTCCTGACTGTAACCTATCGTGCCGCTACCTCTGCTGGGTCTGTCCTGCTGGTGGGACAGGACGTATCTAGGGATGATGAGGATGGTACTTGTGACATTGTCTGTTAGGTATTATTCCCTGAGTATGACTATGTCAGGCTGTTGCTTGACTAGTCTGAGAGACGGCTCTTTCAATTTTGGCACTAGCCCCCAGATGTTACTAAGGACGACTTTCCAGTGTCTGACAGATCCGTTTCTGGTGTCTAGATCGATGTCAGGTGGTCTTTCCATTTTCATTTCTTCGTTGAAACTTTGGAGTGATTGATACAACTGAATGGCTTGCTAGGCCATTTCAGAGGGCAGTTGAGAATCAACCACATTGCTGTGGCTCTGGAGTCACATGTACGGTGGACCAGGTGAGGATAGGATGGCAGATTTCCTTCCCTGAAAGACACTCGTGAGTTTTTCCAACAATTGACAATGGTTTCATAGTCTTCAGTAGATTTGTAATTCCAGATTTTTTTATTGAATTCACATTCCACCATCTGCCATATGGCAGGATTCAAACATTAGCTGAGTTTCTAGACTAATAGTCTTGCGATTATATGACTAAGCCATCCCCTCCTCTCATCTATGTGAATAGTGTAAAACAGTTGAAGCCACAGCACAAACTCTTGCAGGACTCCACGTGTCACAACCTGCCAATCAGACAAAGATCCCTCCTTGCATACTCTGTTTTCTGCGAGCCAGTTAATCTTTTATCCAGGTTAATATGTTACACCCCAACACCAAGAACTTTTATTTTTTTGCAAAAGCCTTTGATGTGACATCTTAAGTGCTTCTGGAAATCCAGGCTCTCCTTTATCCACAGCATACGTTATTCCTTCAAAGAACTCCAACAAATTGGTTAAATATGATAACCTTTTAATGAAACTACACTGACTCTTACAGTGCACAGCTATGATCTCTTTAATGATCAATTTGAAACCTACCCCACAACAGATGCCAAGCTAGCTGGCCTTTAGTTTCCTACTTTCTGCCTCCCTCCTTTCATGATATCAAGGTTATATTTGCAACTTTACAATAAGATGGAACCTTTCCTGAATCTAGGGGATACTGCAAAATTAACACCAATGTATCTACTACCTCAGTAGCAATCTGCATTTAGTGCAAAGGATGAAGTCCATCTGGAACTGAAAACTTGTCAGCCTGTAGCTCCATTAGTTTGCCGTATGCTACTTCCCTCGTGATTGTAATTTTGCCAATTTCCTCTCTTCCTTCCACCTCCTGATTTACAGCGATGACTGGAATGTTTTCATCCACCATTTCCTTTTTATCCACTGTTAATCCACATTCTTATTCTCTAGAGGACTAAGATCTACCCTTCAGCTTTTTATATACCTGTAGAAACTCTTGTTATCTGTTTTTATATACCTAGTTAGCTTCCTTACATATTCTAATTCTTTTCTCCTGATGAACCTTTTAGTCATTCTCTACCATTCCTTATATTCTGACCAATCATCTGACCAGCCACCCATCTTTGCACAGTTCTCTTCTTTTCCTGAAGTTTGATGCTTTTCCTGAAGTGTTTAGTTATCGCATATGATGGGTTCCCAATTTAGTTTCTTTTCTTTAAGACAGGAATATATTCATTCTTGGGTATTCTGCAAAATCCCCTTAACATCTGCCACTGCATTTCTATTAATCTTCCCAGGTCACTTCAACTAGCTCAGCTTTCATTCCCACATTGTTTTCCTTATTTATATTTAAAGCACCAATATGAAATCCAACTTTCTTCATTTCAAACTCGTTGCAAACTTCAATCATATCATGGACGCTGCTATCTAGGGATAACTTAACTCTGAGACAATTAATTATTACTGTCACATTACAGTATAACAAGTCTAACATAACCAGTCTTTTCATCACCTTGGTGCCATATTTGACTTTGAGCTTCCGACTATGTAATGAAATCATTATTAGGCCTGCCCTTTCTCACTTATGTAACGTAACCCAACTCTGCCCCTGTTTCGTTTCATCTGCTCCTGAAATCCTCATCCATATTTATGTTACTTGTATACTTAATAATTCCAGTGCACACCTGCTCACAGTTCCACATTCTACGATAAACATGACAGTCATACATATGGCCTTGCTTGCAACATGTCCCATTCATCTAGCACCCCAATGAATGCTGACACATATTGATTCCCACTGAAGAAACTCCCCAAATCTAAACATTTCCTCTGTTTTCAAATCCCTTTGTGACCTCATCCCTCCCTATCTCTGTAAATCCCTTCACAAACCTCCCTTTATCCATTAAGTTTAGCTGCTTGAGCATCCCTGATTTAATTGCTTCAACACTGGTGGCTATGCATTCAGCTGTCAAGGCCCTGAGCTCTGAAATTCCCTGCCTAAGCCTCTTCACCTCTCTCTCATCTACTAAGACACTCCTTACATCTACCTCTTTGACCAAACTCTGATATTCTGCTATATATCTCTACATGTCAAATTCTGTTTTACATTACTTCTTGTAAAGTATCTCAGGACTTTACATTAAAACATGACATAAATACAAGTTGTATCCGTGATAGTTTTCTTGAACAGTATGTAATGGAACCAACGCGGGAGCAAGCTATCCTAGACCTGGTCCTGTGTAATAAGACAGGAATAATTAATGACCTCATAGTTAGGGATCCTCTTGGAAGAAGTGATCACAGTATGGTTGAATTTAGAATACAGATGGAGAGTGTGAAGATAAAATCCAATACAAGGGTCCTGTGCTTGAACAAGGGGAACTACAATAGAATGAGGGAGGACTTGGCTAAAGTAAACTGGATACAAAGATTTTATGGTGGGACAGTTGACGAGCAGTGGAGGACTTTCAAAGCAATCTTTCAAAGTGCTCAGCAAAAGTATATTCCAATGAAAAGGAAGGACTGTAAGAAAAGGGGTAATCTGCCATGGGTGTCTAAAGACATAAGGGAGGCTATCAAATTGAAAGAGAAGGCATACAAAGTGGCCAAAAACAGCATGAAACTAGAAGATTGGAAAAACTTTAAAGGTCAACAGAAAGCCACAAAAAGAGCTATAAGGAAAAGTAAGATAGAACATGAGAAAAAACTAGCGCAGAATATAAAGACAGATAGGAAACGTTTCTATAAATATATAAAACGAAAAAGAGTGGCTAAAGTAAACGTTGACCCTTTAGAGCATGAGAAGGGCAATTTAGTTATGGGATATGATGAAATGGCCGAGGCATTGAACAGGTATTTTGTATCGGTCTTCACAGTGGAGGACACTAATAACATGCCAGTAATAGACAAAGAGACGAAGGTAGGTGAGGACCTGGAAACAATCATAATTACAGAAGAGGTAGTGTTGGGCAAGCTAATGGAGCTAAGGATTGATAAGTCTCCTGGCCCTGATGGAATGCATCCCAGGGTAGTAAAAGAGATGGTGGGAGAAATAGCAGGTGTACTGGCGGTAATTTTCCAAAATTCGCTGGACTCTGGGGCAGTCCCAGCAGATTGGAAAACAGCAAATGTGACATCACTGTTTAAAAAGGGAAGTAGACAAAAGATGGGGAATTATAGACCAGTTAGCTTAACCTCTGTAGTGGGGAAGATGCTTGAGTCTATTATCAAGGAAGAAATAGCAAGGCATCTTGATAGAAATTGTCCCGTTGGGCAGACGCAGCATGGGTTCATGAAGGGCAGGTCATGCTTGACAAATCTTTTGGAATTCTATGAAGACATTACGAGCGAGGTGGACAAAGGGGACCCAGTGGATGTGGTGTACCTAGACTTCCAAAAGGCCTTTGACAAGGTGCCGCACAAGAGGCTACTGCATGAGATAAGGATGCATGGCATTAAGGGTAAAGTATTAGCATGGATAGAGGATTGGTTGACTAACAGGAAGCAAAGAGTGGGGATAAATGAGTGCTATTCTAGCTGGCAGTCAGTGACTAGTGGTGTGCCTCAGGGTTGGTGTTGGGACCGCAATTATTTACAATTTATATAGATGACTTGGAGCTGGGGACCACGTGTAAGGTGTCAAAGTTTGCAGATGACACTAAGATGAGTGGCAAAGCAAAGTGTGCAGAGGACTGTGAAACTTTGCAGAGGAACATAGATACATTGAGTGAGCGGGCAAAGGTCTGGCAGATGGAATACAATGTAAATAAATGTGAAGTCATACATTTTGGTAGGAGTAATAGTAAAAAGGATTATTACTTGAATGGTAAAAAGTTGCAGCATGCTGCTATGCAGAGGGACCTGGGTGTCCTTGTGCATGAATCATAGAAGGTAGGTCTGCAGGTACAACAAGTAATTAGGAAGGCAAATGGAATTTTGTCCTTCATTGCTAAAGGGATTGAAATTAAAAGCAGAGAGGTTATGTTGCGGCTGTACAAGGTGCTGGTGAGGCCACACCTAGAGTACTGTGTGCAGTTTTGGTCTCCTTACTTGAGAAAGGATGTATTGGCACTGGAGGGGTTGCAAAGGAGGTTCACTAGGTTGATTCCGGAGTTGAGGGGGTTGGCTTATGAGGAGAGACTGAGTAGATTGGGATTATATTCATTGGAATTCAGAAGATTGAGGGGGGATCTTATAGAAACATATAAAATTATGAAGGGAATAGATAAGATAGAAGTAGAGAGGATGTTTCCACTAGCAGGGGAAGCTAGGACAAGAGGGCTTGGCTTCAAGATTAGAGGGAGCAGATTTAGGACTGAACTGAGAAGGAATTTCTTCACCCAGAGGGTTGTTAATCTATGGAATTCCTTCCCCAGTGAAGTAATTGACACTACTTCAGTAAACGCTTTTAAAAAAAAGGTAGATTTTTTTTGAACAATAAAGGAATTAAGGGATACGGTGAGAATGCGGGTAAGGGGATCTGAGTCCACGAAAGGATCAGCCATGATCTTATTGAATGGCGGAGCAGGCTCGAAGGGCCAGACGGCCTACTCCTGCTCCTAGTTCTTGTGTTCTTGTGTGTTTGTTGTTTTTGTTTACTAAAGTATCAAATAAACCATTGTCCTGCTACATTGAAGGGTGCAAGAAATTTCCTTTCGCTGTATGCCATGGGTCATCTGCTCCAGCAAGGTTTGGCCCACTGAAGTTTGTGTCAACCCCCTATAAAAAAGATGAAAATCAAAAAATGCTACACCCCAAAGTCTGCACTTATTCTAAATGACAAAGTGAAATTAAACTTGCTTTTTTTTTCAATCCAAGATAATAATGAGCAAAGTTATTTACCCATTTGACAGAAATGAAATAATTTTAAGTTGCATTAAATGGCATTATACTCACTTTTCGTGCATTTTGGAATCAGTGCTTGAAGCAGTACTTATATTCAATTCAAATGCTTTCTGGGCACATCGCATTAGTAATGAATCATCGTTATTCTGGTTAGCAAGTTGCATCAAACGTATCAATACTTCCAGCTCCAGCAGTTGATCGGACCAGGTACAGTCTAATATTTGTTTCTCCAACTGAAAACGGAGGATAGGTATTAAGAAATCTAAAAATAGTGACTAGAAAATTCGTCAAGGAATGATTACAGCAAGTGTAGCCAGGTTAAGCCTGCTGCTGAAATCTATCAGTGACCCAGCCAAAAGTTACCAAGTTTGGAGCCAAGATAGTCAGTGGTTTGCTGGAATATTTTTTTGATGAGTAGCTACATGCACAATACTATGAGGGATTAGTTGCAGGTTTTTGGTACAGTCTCAGTGAAGCGACAGTAATATATCTGCAAATTAGGGTGACAGGTAACTTGGAGAGGAACCTGTTGGTACTCCCATACACTTGTCCCTTTGGTGGTGGACATTGTAGGAGTTTGGGAGGTATTGTTGAAGGAGTCTTGACAAAGCTGCTGCAATGCATATACACTTCCTTCACTTTGTAATATTATGACACACTTGGGAAAGTGCACTGATTCTCAAGGCCCACTACTCCCAGGGTTTCCACAAAATTTAATGAACTAATCAAAATACGTAAAAACACTGACTTACTTGTTGTTGGAATAAAGTTAGCAGCAAACATTGGCCAGGTCCCTGTACTTAACAAGAACTCCTATTTATTACACATAAGTAAATTCTAATCACAAGTAAAGAGCTACGAATTATCAACATGTAGCTGTACTAGTTAAAACGCTAACTTGCTTTTTAAAACCCCTAAATACACGTACAAACAGACACAAATAAAGAAAAGACATTGGTTTTACAAGTGAAAAGAAAAAATAGAAACATTACACCAGTCAGCAGGGTTCATTGAAATGATCATTTTGGCTTGCCAGGTCTTTGTTGTTCAATCTCTTTTCTTTAATTTCCATCACTTCTTTGCAGGAGGCACATGGTGGTTGGTACACTAACCGCAAAGTCTCTCAATTACTGGTTAAGGGCAACAGCTTAAAGCAAGCTGGTGGGGAGTGGACTATAACTGGCTTTCTTCAGGCCCTTTTACTGCAGTGAGTGAGACACACAACCTGTCCCTCCAGAGGTCCGAAGGTTCTTCACTGTATTGTTCAGCTATCCCTGAACTAATCAGAGAGTTGCCATCAGGCTGATGACGTCTAGCATCCATGGATAAGATACAACTGCACAAACCAATCAGCTACTTGTTGCCAGCCAAATCTCACTCTGTCTACATCCCTGGTTCTGGGTCATCTACAAACAGATATATCCCCACTGCTTGAACAAAGCAGCAGTATAAACACTGCGCACAATGAGTTTCAGTGATTTGTGTTTTAAAATGCAGCAATTCTTTCCTTGGTTTTAAAACAATCCTTTTTTTTTTACATTTCAGTCCACAAACAAAAACACAGAAAATAAAATGCAACAGCCTTATCAGTACCTATAGTGGGCGGAATTTTTAAGGTGGTTGCTAAGTTTTTTTAAAAAATGGATTGCTTTGCCCTGAGTGGTGTGGAGCTTCTAGAGTGTTCATTGAAACTGCATTAATCCAGGCAAATAGAAAGTATTCCACCACCTCCCCCCACCCAATCCCTGACTTACGCCTGTACATTGTGGACAAACTTCGGCATGGGTCAGGAGGTAAGTTACTCAACACAGAAATTCCAGTCTTAGCCTCGTCTTGCAACCACAGCATGGTTCAGTTAGTTTTCACAAAGAGTAGTCGAATGGAACACTCATAGCATGGAAAATACAGGGGCAATGTGACAAAATCATCTGACTGTCTATTTTTAAAATTTCCTTCATAATGATAAGGACAATGGCAATTGCTTACCTCATGAAGACTGGGAACAGTAAATTTCATCAGGTTGCTGTTGTTACAAGAATACATCTCCAGAGCAACAAGAGCCTGGATCATTGGAGCCTGGCTATCGTTACTCTGCTGTAAAAGACAATGAATAGTTTAAAATGCATACAGCATATGACCAAAAACAAATAGAAGAACCAAAAATCTGATACCTTAAGTGGAACACTGCTCTTATTTTACTGATGTGATAGTAAAACAAATCTACCAAATATTTGCAATAATTGAGAACACAGTTAGCAACAAGCTCAGAGAATAAAAAACAATACACAAGTAATTTGAGGATCACTACCAAAATCACTTCTGCTGTCAAATACTGAGGATCTTAGAAATCTGAAATAAAAATTAAGAAAAAAAATGCTGGAAACAGTAGAACATGAGGAAGCATTTGCGCAGGAAGAAGCAGTTAATGTTTCAGATTCACAATCTGTTGGGAGAATTGAAAAATTCTACAGATATGACAGATTTTGAGCAAGAGCAAAAACAGCAAACAGGAGGAAAATGAGAAAAGCAAAATTGAAGGTCTGAGATAGGATGGAAAGCAGGCATAACTTAAATTTTTTTAGTGTGATGGCTTTTCACTCAAACATAAGCACATAAGTCTGCAGATTTGGTATGGAAAATAAATCAGGAATTTAAGAAATAAAAAGAAAATAAACTAAATCAAGCTAAATGTAACGTTGGTTGGGAGTTGAAAATAATTTGGCAGGGGAGTGGGATACCTCTCTAGAACAAGAGGTCATAGTTTCAGGATAAGAGGTAGCAGATTTGAAACACAGATGAGGAGAAATTACTTCTCACAAAGGATTATGAATCTTTGGAATTTACTACCCCAAAGTTTGGTAGATGTCAGTATATTGAGCAAATTTAAGGAGGAGAGAGATTTGTGATTAGTAACGGGCTGAAGAGTTATGGGGACCAGACACGAAAATGAAGTTGAGGCCAGTATGAGATCAGCCACAATCATATTAAATGGCTAACTGAGCTCAAGGGGCTGAATTGCCTACTCTTGCTCCTAGTTCCTGTGTTCTTATGATACAGAGTGGAGGCAGAGCAGGTGGTTACACACAGAAAGGTACAGAAGAAGAATCAAGTCAGTCTAGAAGACTGTGAATATAGTCAAGTTGATGCACAAAGAGCATGGTAAAGCTGAATGGCATTTATTTTAATGTAAGGAGTCTTGCAAGTAAGAAAGATATGTTGCGGGTACTCTTGAAGGAACAAGGCAATAATGTTTAGACATTCTTTTGGCTGTACCGCTACCCGTTTTGTATGTGAAATATTTGACAAGGAGAAGTATCACACCCCTCAGTTTCTGAAGTCAATTCACCTGTGCCTCTCATGTTTTCCTAACGCCAAGTAGAAATGCCCTCTTTCTCTGATGACAACATGCGTACTCAGCGCCTTACTGTACTCTCTGTACACTAACAAATGTGTGGCCAAACTTTGTACAAACGCCATGTACAAGTTCGTTCACAACGCCACCGTTGAAGACCGGATATTAAACAATGACAGGTCAGAATACAGGAAGGAGATAGAATGCTTGGTGTCATGGTGCAAAAATAACAATCTCTCTCTCTCAATGTCAGCAAAACTAAAGAACTGATCATTGGCTTCAGGAAGAAAAGAAGACGACATGCCCCCATCTACATCAATGGTGATGGTCGATAGTGTCAAGTTCCGAGGAGTGACAATCACTAACAATCTGTCCTGGACTTCCCACGTAGATGCGACGGTCAAGAAGGCACAACAATGCTTCTTCTTCATCAGGAGCCTTAGGAAACTTGGCATGTCCTTAAGGATCCTCACCAAATTTTACAGATGCACCACAGAAACCATTCTATCTGGGTGCAGAACGGCTTGATATGGCAACTGTTCTGCCCAGTACTGTAAGAAACTACAGAAAGCTGTGTGCACAGCCCAGACCATCACACAAGCCAACCTTCCATCCATGGACTCCACCTTCACCTCTCACTGCCATGGAAAGGCTGTCAATTTCATCAAAGATTCCTCCGACCCTGGTAATACTCTCTTCCAACCTCTTCCATCAGGCAGAAGATACAGAAGCTTAAACATGCGTACCAACAAATTCAAGAACAGCTTCTTCCCTGCTGTTATTGGACTGCTGAGTGGAACTCTCTACTATTAAATCTAATGTTGATCTTGGTTTTGTGCACCTCCCGTGCAGCAGTAACCTTGTATAAGATAACATAGTGTGGAGCTGGAGGAACACAGCAGGCCAGGCAGCATCAGAGGAGCGAACCCTAATCCTAACCCTAACCCTTGTATGCCTTGCTCTGTCTAGACACCTTATGATCTGTATGTCCTTGTATGTTATGATTTGCCTGTATGACCCGCAAAACAAAACTTTTCACCATACTTAGATACATGTGCCAACAATAAATCAAATCAACACCTCAAACAGAAAAAGAATATTCACAATCAAGTCAAATCAAATCACCAGTGCATTCTGCTCAAGGACCCACAACATTTACTGTGGACAGAATCTTACAGGGGCCTGAGTGACATTGGCTGTGATAAGGTTTGTGGCAAAAATCAGATGAGATGTCCAGTGACATTTGGAACAACTCGGTGTATCTTTTATACATTTTGCTGAGCAATGAGGCAGGTTTCTCCCTCGTTGTCAATTAAAAAGGATTATAGGCAGTTAAAAACCTTACTAAAACAACAACTAACTTCATTAATGTTCAGCTTCCTATCTGACCAAACAAACTAGAAGTCAAGGATTCTTGGCATGGAAGTCAGAGGGGGTACTTGGTGACTCCAACTCGCCATTGGTTGCTAAGAGTTTCCATGTTGATTAGCATCAAACAGCACCTCCAGGCATAATCCAAGCGCATCAAGCTCATGTCTCATGCACGATCTTTGGCAGCTAACATTTGCCAATCTCTCATGACCATTATGGCGTCTCTTCAATCCAATTGCAGACCATGTAGCATGCACAGACTTGCATTGCAGGGAGCATTGGCAACCAGCATCGAGAGGCTGCTACAAGGGCACTTTGTGTGTAGTGACAGGGACCCAGCTTAAGAATCAAACCAGCGTGTATCTCAGGACTAAAACAGAAAAGCTCAGCAGGTCTGGCAGCATCTGTGGAGAGAAATCAGAATTAACATTTTGGGTTGAATGACCCTTTTTTTTCCAGCAATTTTTGTTTTTGTTTCTGATTTACAGCATCCACAGTTCTTTCAGTTTGTATATCAGGACAGCTCACTTGTTCTCTTCTCACTTGCTCTCTTAGTGCCTACTGCATGCTCGTACATCCAGGCGTGGCCTTGCCTGTTAGTGTACTGAAGCTTCAGCCAGAGCTAAAGACTATCACCACATGCTCTTTAGTGCAGACACGCACACAGGATGCTTCTGACACTTGTCATTCGGGTTCTGTCGGGGGTGGGGGGAGGGGGGGGTGTGGGGTGGGAGCGGCGGTAGAATATCTTGCTGAATAACACAACCGAGATGTCAGTCAAATACCAAAAATATGCCAGCTGTTTGCATTGCATACACACTACAGATTTAATTAATCAAACAGCCATACCAAAAACTGAGTGCAAGTCTATAGTGCAGCCAAAGGAAAGGGTGCTGTCAGTCAGGGGATCCCGGTAACATCCGTCAAGGGCATAGAGCAGGGTCTTGGCCACAGTCGTCTGCTTGGAAAGCAGATGCAGTGATAGGGACAGTGACATGGGAAACAAATAGGATTCTGAAAGGGTTTGACAGGGTGAATACTGAGAGGATGTTTCCACATATGGAGGTGTTTAGGACCTGAAGAGTTGAGATGAAGTGGAATTTCTTCTCTCAGAGGGTTGAGAGTCTTTCGAACTCTTGTGTCACAGAGAGCTGGGGGGGCAGAGTCCTGGCGTATATTTGAGGCTGAGATAGATAGTTTCCTGATCAGTGGGGAATCAAGGGCTGTGGGAAAAGGGCACGAAAGTGGATATGATACTGGAACAACCATGATCATATTGAATAGTGAAAAAGGTTCAAGGGGTCAAACAGCCTAGCCTTGTTCCATTTTCTTATGGTTTAATGGTCTATTCATTTTGTTTGTGTTCACTTTTAGTGGCTGTAAATAGAATCCTAAAGTTAGAATTACATAAAGGCAAGTGATCAGACAATGTTCCCCTACTGGACAATGATGAGTTGTGTTTTTCGTTGGCACTGGGGACAGAGTAGCGATGACTTCTTGAAAGTGCCTGATGGAATGCAGCTAAGAACAGGTAAATAGAGCAGCATTGTGGTTGAACACAGTGAGAGAATGGGGTTTTATGTGTGAGCGAGTGAAAGCCATGAGTCATATGCCATGAGCAGTGTGGATTTGTGGCTGCTGTGCCATTAGGTTATTGGCGAGGGGCAATGCAAGATTGCCAACAATTATCCAGACACACTGCAGCCTTTTAAAGGTGGCACAGGTGCAAAGGATTCTGGTCTTTTAGCAGATATATGCCAAGTGTTGAGTTGATTTGGGAACAGCACATGGTACGATGGGGATAGAATCAGACATAAGGGATGTTACATGAGCAGGGTATGCAATGAGGCGAGTTCGGTAGGATACATTGAAGAAATTTGCTAGGCCTTGTGGCAAGAAACCCTCCAGAAACATAATGCGATGTGCACAAAGCCAAAATTTCAGCTCTCTGTTTCCCTCTCCACAGATGCTACCATTCCTGTTGAAATTTTCCAGCTTTTTGGTTTTTCTTCCACATCACCATTCTTCACACTCAAATTATATTTCTCTGCTTCTTTACCAACTGTTTAGGCATTTAACTGCCAACCCCTTGTTAACTCCCTGCAAAGTAGACTGGATTTCCTTACTGCAACCTTGAGTGGTTTTGTCACCCCAGCTACAGTGCAGCTGCAGAAACCTATTTAAAGAGGACGAAACAATTACATTAACACTTTACCTCATCATCCATTCCCAGATTTGGTCCTATTTGTTGCTGAAGAAGCTGTTTTACTTTGACCCATGTAACAACAATCTGACGTCTCACAGAAATGGGAACAACATCAGAGGGTTCATTTCCATTTGTAGCATTCAGTATATATTCACAGATCTATAGTCCAAATAGAAGTACTATACATCATTCTATTCCTATTATAAATAATCTTAAAATACATTGAGCACATAAACATTAAAAAGTTTTTCTTTATTGAATATGTATCTTAATCGACCTGATGTGTTGGTTTGAACTAAAAACAGAACAATGTCTGTAAAGATCCCATCTTTTCATTTTTCTTTATTTTGACTGTGGATTAAAATGAGAAAAACATCATTTTAAAAATCAAGGACTGGGGAACGAATTGCTGGACTTTTAAATCTAAGGTGTTGGAACACATTGTAAATTGTGTTACACTGCTGCTGTGTTAAAGCAGTAGGGATGGTGAGAAAAGATGGTACGGCACTGGGGTGTGGGCATAGTGAGATTTGGCCAGCACCAGGCAGCTGATTGGTTTGTGCAATTGTGAGCAGTTGTCAGGTCATCAGCCTGACAACAACTCTTTGATTGTTCAGCTGCCTAGGAACCTGTTTATGAGTGTGAATGATACAGGGAAGAAAAGTTTTCAAAACTGGAAGAAGCAAGGTCTGTCTCAATATCTCTGCAGAAAGTAACTCAAGCCTGAGGACAGTCGGTTATTCGCTCCCAACCATTTGCTTTAAGCCATTGCCTCTAACCAGTGTAGACAAACAGGAGGCTGGAAGAACACAGCAAGCCAGGCAGCATCTGGAGAAAAGGTGCTGTCAACGTTTCAGGTATTATCCTTCCCGAAACGTTGACTGCTCCTTTCCTCCAGACGCTGCCTAGCTTGCTTTGTTCTTCCAACCTCCAGTTGTCTACCTTGGATTCCAGCAACTGCAGTTTTTTTTGCTTCTAACCAGTGACTATGAAACTGAACAGTTAATGTGCAAGTAGCCTAGTTCTCAGCAAATAATTGAAAATCTAGAAGAAAGGAGACAAAGAATACAAGATCTTGGCAAGAGAAAAGGAACATCTCATTGAAGCTTGTGGACCAGAGCTTCTGAACTGTGAATCCCAGTATTTTCACTATATCCATAACATTTTTTGTTTTGTGTGTCAGTCTGTATGTGCATGTAGAGGTTTTATAAATGGGATTAGAGTTTCCAACATAAAAAGTTGTATGTAGATTATCAAAGTGATATTTACCTGTAGCCAGAACTTTTCTGTTCATAATAAACAATAGTTCATGTTCAGTACAGGAACCTGATCAGAGTTTTCTGTAAACCTGATTTTATCAGACAGGTAAATTGGGGATTTGGCATACTTTGATTAAATAATTAACTTTTATGGCAATGGGACATGCGAGTCATCGCTGTCCCAAGTGGGATATAATAGTCAAATGAACTCAGCACCAGTTTTAACGATGAATACCAAATAGGTAATTCCCTAAGTTTACTTCCTACTTATGTGAAACCTGCACACATAGGAAAAGAATGTGGGAGAACTTAATGCTGCACACACTCTTAAATATAATCTGATATTGCATGTACTGTTCTAATCCCACTATGCATGAAGCTCAGGGCATTGTCACTGTCACAGATCATTTTATTTGAAGGTAATTTAGCTGACACTTCATATTAATATCTCCCCCCACTCTCCAAGAACTACATAGCTGTGATACCTATTTTGAAGACAGGGTGCATCTGTGTTGTGTGGAGGAATCAAACTATTTTAAAGAAATAAATGTAATCTGCCAATAAATAACGTTTTGCTTTTATATGAAAAAATTTTACATCATCCAGCGCATGCTGTAATGAAATCCAATTTATAGCACCAGTGGAGAAGTAGGTGCCAATTTATCGTTCAGAAGGGTATAAGAAATAAGAGCAGAAGCACGACACTCCACCCTTTGATCACACTCCACTGTTCAGTGGCATCATGTTCTTCCACTTCAACCACATTTTCCTGCATTATCCATATATCCCTTGATGTTCTTAACATGTAGAAATCTACTGATCTCAGTCTTAAACATACTGAACGACTGAGCCTCCACTGGCCTCTAGGCAAGTCCGAAGAACCACTACCTTCTGAGTGAAGAAATTCCTCTTCATGTCGTTTACGGTAGTCTATCCCTAGGTCTGAGTTAATGTTTCCTTTTCTCAGTCAAGGGAAATGTCTTCCTGTATCCATCCCATCACTCCTATACAACTTTGAATATTTGAATGATCACCTCTCATTCTTCTAATCTCTAAAGAATAAAGGCTTAGTTCATTTAATCCTTCCTTGTTGGACAATTCCTCTATTCCAAAAATAAGTTTGGCGAACTTCTATTGCTCTCCCTCTGTGGCAAATATATCTTTCCTGAAGTAAGGAAGACAAAACTGCACACAATAGTCAAGATGTGGTCTCCCTGAGCCTCGACATAACTGCAGTAAGACATGGCATCATATAGCATGTAAACAAACCCTTCAATCCAACCAGGCCACACCGACCATGTTCCCAAACTAAACTCGTCCCACCTGCCTGCACTTGGCACATATCCCTCCAAACCTTTCCTATTCATGAACTAATCCAAATGTATTTTAAATGTTGTAACTATACCTGCATCCACCACTCTCTCTTGCAGTTCATTCCACACCACTAACCACTCTCTGTATAAAAAAGTTGCCGCTTATGTACTTTTTAAATCTTTGTCGTCTCACTTTAAAAATATGCCCACTAGTTTAGAACTCCCCGACCCTCGGGAAAAGACCCTTGTCATTCACCTTATCTATTCCCCTCATGATTTTATAATCCTCAATAAGGTCATCCCTCAACCTCCTATGCTCCAATGAAAAAGTCCCAGTCTTTCTGGGACAACACAGTGTGGAGCTGGAGGAACACAGCAGGCCAGGCAGCATCAGAGGAATAGGAAAGTTGACGTTTCGGGTCAGGACCCTTCTTCAGAAATGACCCATTTCTGAAGAAGGATCCTGACTCAAAACATCAACTTTCCTGCTCTTCTGATGCTGCCTGGCCTGCTGTGTTCCTCCAGCTCCACACTGTGTTGTCTCCGACTCCAGCATCTGCAGTTTTTGCTATCTCCCAATCTTTCCGGTCTATTTTTATGTCTCAAATTCCATTCCCAGCAACATCCTGGTAAATCTTTTCAGAACGCTCTCCAAAAAAAAACTTTCCTCATCTACTCAAATCCTTTGAAATGAAGGACAATTCCCATTTTCCTTCCGAATTGTTTGCTGCACCTACATGGTAGCTTTGAGTAACTCACGAACATGCTGTTTGCACAGACGGCTTGCCCAGTATTCTGACTTTGGTTCCAATTTCTAAAAGAGAGAAATACTGCAATTTCAGTTTCTGGGAAATGGGGTTGTGACTTTGAGGTCCCGAACATGATATCAAATTTCTGGAAAATCAGAGTGTGACCTAAGGTTGCAAAGGTCACAGAAGAACAGTGAAACCAAAAGGAGAGCAATTGAGCCCTGAGAAATCAGACTTCAGCAGCACAGACTGAACGAGGAGAGGGTGTGGGCAACACAGCTTAAAAGAAGAAAACCTGGAGGGTGGATTTGGCTGTGAGGATAAGAAAAATACATTTACTACTGTTGCTTGAATTATTTTGAAGAGGTCTGCCAAATTTGGTGCAGGTCTTGTTCATATGACTCAAAGTGATTGGAAGCAATTCATGCAGATAGGAACTCTAAATCTTCCAGAGAAAACAGAGATTTGAAGAACTTTGTGACTGAATGCTTAGTGCCATACTTGGTAAAGGACTGACAGTTAATCAGAAAGATCTACCTTTGTTGTATTTGCTATTTAAACTGTACATTACAGTTTACATTGAATACAATCAAATATTTAATTTGTGTTAACTTTGCTTTAATCATTAAAGTTAAAATGAAGGAAATTTTGGTTAATTTGGTTTCTTTAGTTTATTTTTTTTTACAGGGAGCACAACAAAATTAGAATTTTAGAAAGGGCGTGTTTTATATAAAACAGGCATAACACCAGCTGTCAGAAACAATTTTTTTGAATTATACCTTTATACTCTTTCAAAACATATATCACAAATATTCAACAAAAAATTAAGATAGTTGCAGTTCTAAAGTAAAATTTCATATTTAAAAATAGAAATACATTTTGTGAAGGTATTATAAAATCTACTGAAGTAATAGTTTTAATGGTATTACTTTCAAACCACCCAGTGTATTCTCATACCTGGAGAGCCTCAGTTATTTCAGGAATACCTTCAGGATCAACAACTAGAGTCTGCAGAATATTCAGTTTTTCAACTTTCTTCGGAGGTGCCCTTTTAATGTTAGCAGTAATGGAACCCCTTGTAACTTCTTTCTTTTCATTTGATGTAGGGCTGGGTATCCAAGGCTGAATCAAGCCCTGACATAAGCTGTTACACAGCATGACCAAAAAGATGGTTTCCCTGCAGTGCAGCAAGAATAATTTTTGTTACTTCATATTCTTAGCATTTTTCCTACTGCAATACTCCAGGATTACAATTATAAACAATCATTGTATATACAGTACTGAATCGAGTCAGATGTTAGAACCAGCTTTCATGATAGGAGACAGTATTACTCATGCCTCATCAATATAAAATAAACAATTTGGCCATTTCCCTAAAATGCCAACATCTTTGGGTAGATGGGCACCTGGGTGAGAATTGAGGACAATATTCCCTGAAAACTGCATGGACCCAAAATTTTCCATGCAGGCTGCACACAAGTAGCCAAGTGTGCATGCAACACAAAAAATGTAAAGGATTCCTGTACTTAAATTGGTTGTGCACTACAAAAAATAATAATGGCTAATTTGGTGATAGGACCCTTGGAGGAAATACCATCACTTTTTTGTAACCACAATCAATTCTTCCACCTACTGCTTAGCATCACAAACCCCCAAAATCTTCTGATCCTCCCACACTTTCCCTCCAAGACAACAGCAGGAGTGCAGCCTGCTTGTGTGTCAGTCCATACATGGCACAGAGTACCCATTTATTTGTAATGGACAGCATCATTAAGTGAAAATAAGGGTCACAGAAATGCACATCAGAGTTTCTGCCATACACACATTCATTTCTACACTTAACATGTTTAGGTGTTCAGCTAACAATCCTATCTAATTACCTGCAGAATATTCTTCTGGCTCACTCACAGGGTTTAATTTTGCTGCCAAATTTAATGATGCTGATGCTATAAGGCTGAGAATGCACTCAGATTTCACCTCAACTTCACAGCTGGGGTTTAAAATGCACACAAGTGGACCAATGTGGCATTTCCTTTATTTAAATTTGGACCAAGCCAAATTCACATGTTCAGCTTCTGGTAATGTTGGTTGACATTTCTGATTTGTTTTGCATCATTGCACTAGAACAGTGCTCGGGGAAAGAAAAACTGGTTCTGCATGATTTATCATCAGTCTGCTAAAACTTACCCACAATGTCCTGTCTGCTTTAATGCATCAAGTAGTGTTCTAAATGTTTCAACAAGCTCTTTATATCTCCCAGCAACTAGCAGGTGGTTGTTATGGTTCCATATGTAGATAGCTGCATTGCACACAATGGATGCATCATCTATTTCCATGCCCAGTTCTGCACCCCGCAGAAAATTCTTGGTTGCACAAGACGACAGAGAATCTATCCAATTACTGAAAATAAATAATGCAAAACATGAAGGCCAAATTTTAAGCAGTTTTGGCGTTCGGAATCATTAACATGAATCACTGAGTTGAATTTTAATGGCAAAGGGAAGGCAGGTTCAGGTGCTATTTGAGAATCAAATCTCCAAAGTATGACATCAGACTGGGACCTGTAATGATCCTGTAATAATACTGGATTTGACATTAGTTAGTTTGCAGATGAGCAGTGAATGCCCGTGCAGATGTTGGGTAAATCATTACAAAAGATAATTAACTTTGAATTTAGCCCAGAATTCTGGCTTCAATAGCCAAGAACAAAGTTTCCTGAGCTCTCCACAATTCGTCAGAGCCAACTAGGCAAGTATAGACTGGGGAGGGCATCGATAAGAAAAAAATTGAACAGCCTTCAAATGGTTCAAGTAAGTAGCTGACATCATGACAAGGTGACAAGTTACTACTCACAGAACTTTTACCCAATCTTACTGCTTGGCAGATGATATCCAACTTCAGTTCACCTGCCCTGCACTTGACACATCTTGATCTGTAATTTCCTTATAAGCCTCTGCAGAGGAGCAAGAGGAGTCATAACAACAACACCAAAAGCAAGTCTCCTTAGCCACATGACACTCCTTACAGGATAGGAGAGGAACATAAAGATCCAGCTCAAAAGAGACATAGGGTCCACAGGCAGTGGCTGGGTTCTCTTGATGTGCATGTGTATCAACTCATGGAGGTTTTGACATTCATGGCAACTTGTTGATGACAGCTGCAGTGTCCTGAAATGAGAACTCCTTGTTTGAGGAGGAGAAGGGCACACATTGCCAATGGTTGTGAAGGTAGCTATCAGCAGAGATCTCCCTGTGCCTATTTCTCTACCTCTCCATGGAGTTCTGCATTCTGCTCTCCCTCCTTACAGGAAAAAGATGAGTTGTGAATAATAGATTATATGGAGGCACTGAAATCCTGATCATAACAATTCACTGTGCAACAAAAACTTCTCCTGATCTCTCTTCTGGTGCTTTTGTTGATTATCTTAAACTTGTGTCTGTACTTATTATACAAGAGTAGGATTAGGCCAATCAGCCCTCAAGCCTGCTCTGGCATTTAATAAGACTATGATTGATCCGATTGTAATCTCTTGTCTACATTCCTGTCTACGCCTGACAACCTCTCATGTTCCTGTTTAACAAGAATCTGTGCAGATTTGCCTAAAAAAAATTTAAAGGCCCTGCTTTCAATGTCTTTTCAGAAAGAGTTCCAAAGACGCTCAACCCTCTTTACAGAACGTTTGCCTCACCTCTGTTTTAAAGAAGCAACCCCTTATTGTAAATAGTGACCCTTGGTTCTAGATTCTCCCAGAAGAGGAAAAAGCCTCTCAGCCTCAAGCTCCTTTAGCCTTACTCTCCTGCCAAGAGAATCAATTTCTCCTTCATATTTACCCCCAACCTTCTCTGCTCAGATAAAGAATTCCAGGCATCCATGACTGAAATACCTGGTATCATTCCAAAAAATCTTTGCATGTTCATCAAGGCCTTGGCATCCTTTTCTTTTAAGTAAAGAACCCAGAATTGAACACAATAGCTCAAAGGAAATAAAATCACAAAAACTTATTATCTCAAATGCTCAAAATACCTGTACGTTATCCATTCTGGAACACTCTCCGGAGTTTTGGCTCCAAATTCCTGAAGTTCCTTCCGTTTTTCTTCTGGGAAAACTGCATGGTTGTTATACTGAACACCTTGTGATTTTAACAACTGAATGGCTGCCTGGACATGTAAATTATAATGTTAAACATTCTTATATTGAAATAAATATCACCATAAAATGATAGTCCTCAGCTCTCTACATCATTAATATTTATTTCTCCAGGAAAAGTAGGTTCATTAAATTTGATTTTGCTCACCGCAAATAATTGTGTAATATGCAAAAAGTCCAGGTTGTGTCCTTACCTCCTTGGCCAAGTGAAAATGATTTCATTTTATCTATGCAGAATGTTATGTTCTTTGAGTTTATTATTCACTATTTTGTTAATTCTCACAAATGTGAACATCGAGATTGGATTCTTATTGAGAGCACGTATCAGAGGATTTATTTGCAGAGCAATTAAACACATCACAATGCTATCACAGACCTTGGCATAAACTGGTAGATTAACTGGCATTCATGATGCATTGCAGTGTACAACAATAGCTATTCATGAGTACACTGGTATCTCTATACAAGAATGTCATTTGGCATGATGCCACACTGCTGTTTCACTTAATGCTCTTAAAAGATTCCCACTTTCCTGATCATGGATACAGGCAAAATCTTAACACGGAATAACTTTCTCTAGAAGAGAAAATGCATATAAAATACATTCTAAACAACAAGAAAAGGCACAGAATTGACTTATACTAATATTACAAGTCAGAGATAGTTGGAACTGCAGATGCTGGTGAATCCGAGACAACAAGGTGCAGGGCTGGATAAACACAGCAGGCCAAGTCTGCTCCTATGATGCTGCTTGGCCTGCTGTGTTCATCCAGCCCTGCATCTTGTTGTCTAATATTACAAGTCAGGTGGTTTTAGACAGTCAAGACTTGAAAGGTTAAATATTTTAAGTCTTGTTTAGAACTTTTGTTCCTCAAAATAGGATGACTTTGACTTTTAGATCAACTGATTGCAGAGGCAGGGTGACTGCTGGCTTTACTGCAAGTTGAGAGAAGTACCATCAGTTCAGAACATAAAGCATTGCCTCTTAGCCCTCCCTAAATGTAGTCATCATGATTACAGAACCTGTCACTTTTGAAATGAAATCAAACATTATCCTTTTTCAATTCTTTCTCAGATTTCAATTTTTAAAACATTGCCCCTTAATATGCTTGAGTATAGTTTTATTTGATACAGGAATTAATAAAGAGAATGATATTTAAGGAAGAATTTTTTTACACCAAGAAGAAAAAATAAAGAAAGTGTATACTGAGGTTAAGAATAGTGACAAAGGATTATAAGATCATGTGTGACCTGGGCATGCACAAGTACATGCTCACACTATGATCAGGAAATATTGAGAAAGGCAGAAAATTAAAACTTGCCTGCATCCGTGTTTTTAAAGAGTATAATCGGGGGGACTTAAATCACCATTACTGCAGAGCTGCAGGGTGCACAGGGAGCATGAAACAAAGTCACAACTTCAAACAAGGAGTAATAATAATTCTCAACTGTGCCTTGTAATTACTGCTCAAAAACCATAATGTACTGATTCTTACTTATGCAGGGATAAAAGCCATAAGGATTAACAATATGATGTCAGTGTTGAACAATTGATCAGACAGTCCAAAAGGATTATTAAAAGTATTACTACCTCAAACTAATACTCCTCATTTTTTTAACATATGGAGCAGACAGGATGAAATTTTATTCTTCACAATAAGTATTCAGCCTGTACTTACAAACATAAAAAATTTGGAATACGAGTAGGCCATTTCGTCCCTCAAGTTTGTTCCACTATTCAATTAGATCATAACTGATTTCATATACCTGCCATCAATGCATAACCCTTTTATAACTTTCATTACCAAATATTTTAGCAGTCACAGATTTAAAACTAATAACTGATCCAGCATAAATTGCTATTTGCGGCTGCGGGTTCCAAACATCTACCACCCTTTGTATGTAACAGGGCTTCCTAACTTTGTTTTTCAAAGGCATGGTTCCCATTGTTAGACTATGCCTCTCTAGCCACAGATTCTCCAATAAGCTGAGATAGTTTCGCTCTTTCTATCCATTTCCCTGATAAGCTTGAAAAAAAATGGAAAACTGTTTGTACAGTCAGTCCTGATAATTTAACCCTTGGAATTCAGGGAATAGAAATTTGACTTTGAATTAGCTACCCACTAAACATGCATCTGAGATTCAGTTCCATTGCTGTCAAACTTTTGCGCAAGTTGTGTAAAGAGATTATGCTGAGTCTTCACAACACACTGTTGTATTGATATAAATGTATGTAAAATGCTTAAAAATTGTTTGGGAACTCAAGTTGGCATTACTGTACTGTACCTACCTCTGCATTAATGAAGCATACTTCAGCAAGGATTCTGATTAAAGCAGCTGAAGAATAGCAGACTTTGTGTGGGGAATTTATTGATAAAGATGTATCGGCATTAATACTTCCCTCTGATCTGGTAAAATTTCCCGCTGATCTGGAAATACTTCTTTCTGAGATGCTTGCATTTAGTTTTATAGTTTCTTCTGAAATAAACCAAAAAAATGCAAAATGCATTTTCTAGCTCACGATAGTTTGTTGGGGGGAAAAAATTATTCTTCCGATCTTACCAGCAGGCATTCTTTCTATTATCCATCGTCTATCATCATACAATAGGCAAAAGTGGCAAGCTGTACGACAGACATCCCAAACTTCTTGCTTCCGTGCAACTTTAGCTAGATCAGCCCAAATTCTCACCCTAAAAATCCAACAGAATTTTTTATGCATATACTTCAGGAATGAATCAGAAGTGCAATTAATGTCACAGGTATCAGAACTTAGTTTGTGGCTTTCCATAAATACTGCAGCAAGGTTCATAAAGAAATGCTGGAATTTGCTTGATGAAATATTTCAACCATTCCTGCCTCCTTGATACTGCTACATACGGTGATGGGTGTGCACAAAATCATAAGACGGTTACCTCGAACAAAATTTAAAGGAGTAATACAAATAAGATGACAGTCTAATGTAACCAGGTTGAGTCTCAAAAATCTCCAATTCTGGAGGCTCTGATTTAGAAGATGGCTGTTCCCAACTTTCAAAGATGAATAGTAACAACTATATATGATAAGATTTTATTAAAATTAATAATTAACTTATTTATTTCCTTGAAACAGTAATGTGTTGTGGATAAAGAGGAGCCTGTAGTTGTATTGCATTTGGACTTCCAAAAGACATTTGACAAGGTGCCACATCTTGTGTATTGGGCAAAGAAGGAGCTCATGGCGTAGGGTGTAACACATTAGCATGGATAGGACACTGACAGAAAACAGAGTATTCATTAAAAAGGTTTTAATGACCTTAACAAAAAGGTTATAGACAATTAACTTAATTGCACATTTAGAAAATCATTCTATTTGTTGCATGTAATATTAAGTATATCACAAACATTACTGGCAATCAGGTAACACGGGGCTAAATTATTCAGGGTGCCAGATTCCTTGCCACAACCAATCCCCACCCTCCAGGCATTAGGGCTGGGGTACAGCATGTTGTTGTTCAGCTCTTGGTCCCATAGATGCTTTAAAGTTACTTAGCAGAACCAACTGCCCCACCTCTCTCTCTCTCTGCACGTTCCCAAGTTGAACTGCATATTTTCTGTGAAAAATACAAGGCAGGGGAAGAGTAAAAATTTGCAAAGGCCCTCCGATGGACTCAAGGAGACTGTCAAGGAGGAATCTTTCACTCATCACCAGCCTGAACAGAGAATCTGTCAGACTGGGTGTTAGCCAGGGGCCTCTTCTGCCACTGATTAAATCCCAGCACGAATAGTAAGGGGTAATAAATGCCTCAGTTTTCCCAATGCCGGCTGTGGTGCCTGGCACCACTCATGCTGGTGGTATACTTGTAGTGGGGCAGGGATGATGGCAGGATGCCCGCTGGATTGAATAAGCTCCCCGGTATCGTCAAATCAGTTATGACAAAACTGAATAGTAACATGAGGGTTTGTAGCATTCAGAAATTCATTTTATTTCCTTGCTGTGAATAGGATTAATGTTTGCTAATTCTTAATTGTATGGGTCTTTATTATTTGATAAGGATGATTTAGAAACTGTCCCTTCTGTAAGACAGTGGAACACCCCAAAAATATGCTTGTATTTTTAAGCATTCAATTAGTATACTTTTTAGAACTGTTTTGCTGATTGCATCAGTGCATTCAAATGGTGTTTTTGCCAATAATCTTACATTTTAGACACGCTTTCAGCTAAAATGATACAAACATCGGTGAAACCAAAGGAATGGAACATGCAATGTTGTCTCTTTCATCAGCGAAACAATACTACTTTACACTCCCTTGTCACCCATAACTTGTGCTCAAGCTTTACCCACCTCAATTTATCGTTTACATTTCCAAGTCTTTCCAAATATCCCTGTGTTTGTTGTGCAGAGTTTAAATGATTTTGAGCTTTGGCAGCGAGTAGGCCAATGAAGCCTATGTTACCCTGGGCCACAAATACTAAAAAACATAACACAATAATATCAGTTTTGAATCCGTGAGAGCCTCAGACTTTTGACTGCTCGCTTTCCTTTAGGGACTTGAGTTTGCTTTTTGAGGAAGGGTCACCAGACCTAAAATGTTAACTGATTTTTTTCTTCACAGATGCTGCCAGACCTGCTGAGCTTTTCCAGCAACTTCTGGTTTTGTTCCTTGCTTTTTTTTGACTTGTCAATTACCCACTTCGCATCATTTAAATGAATCCAGCACAAAATAAATTAATACTTCTCTGACATAAGTTCAGAACAACAGGTCCATGTAGCTTAAAGCAATCACCAAATTTATTTTCCAAATCTGCAAGCAATTATGTAAACAACTGTACTTCTGGCAGTGAAGTATTTTGTGAATTTATAACTTGCTTAATAGTGATGAGATTAAAGCTTCTGTAAATTGCAACCAATGGAAGCCAACAGTTAAAAATGAAAGTGAACAGTCTAATAAAATTTATTAAAAGTTGAAACAGTATTTTAAAGATGCAATTAATGTCAAAAAGAAATCCATGCATTTAATTATGCAAAGAATTATTTCTAACAAAAGGTATATTCAAATAATGGTTGGTGTGTCAGACTAATTGGTGATTCAATTATTCAAATATTTCTTGAAAGTGAGTAATAATGTAGAAGTTAACAAATAGTTTAACACTTCAGAATTCTTTCCAGAATTTTAATTTTTAGTTAACAACGAGAGCAACAACAGTATAAAATAACAGTGCAGACAGTAAAACAGACCCCAAACAGATGGAACATCCCATCTGATTTCTGCTCGTCAGTTTAAATACTTTTACAGTATAAGTTCAATCTTTGTCCTTTCTCCTCACTTAAATATAAACAGATTAATACCATACCATGTCAGATTTAAAAGACACTCTATTAGCTTAGCCAACAATACATTCTCCATCCTGAGTAATCTAGTACTCTGAAACATGAGCTAATCAGTGATTTATGGTACAACCTAAGTACTTGTTATCAAGGAAAATTCAGAATTATAATGAAACATGATACAAAATCAGTTTATACCCATAAGGGACAAAAAAAGGAACAGCCAATAATAAAATAAGTAAGGGTCAACATAAAATCGTATAAAATTGAAAACAAAAGTGCACGGATCCAGGCACATGAGAGATATCAACACCACCAAAAGGGGACGGAACAGATAACATGAGCTACAAATTGGGAGTACAAAAAGAAACTCACAAGGGAAATTAGAACCAAAGGGAAAATTTGTTACAATTGTCTTGGGGAACAATGTATGATCAGGAAGAAAAACACAAAGTGCTGGAGAAACTCAACAGGTCTGGCAGTATCTGTGAAGAAAGATTTAATGTTTTAATGTTTTGAACACAATGTGACACTTTCATTGACTCTTTAAGTGCTGACTGTGTCTCTGTCCCCGCAGACGCTGGCAGACTTGCTGAGTTTTTCTAGCCCTTCCTGTTTTTATTTCAGATTTCCAGAAAATTGTTTTTTTGAATGCGGGCTCCTTTAGACCAGATAATGGTGATACTGTTCAATGAAAGTGAGAAAATGGCAAGACATATTGAATAATTTGGGAAGATAATGGCCTAGTGGCATTATCACTTGACTATTAACCCAGTGAACCAGGTAATGTTCTGAGGACCCAGGTCAAATGCGGCCAGTATGGTTGATGGAATTTGAATTGAACAACAATCTGGATTAAAGTGTCCAATTATGATCATGAAACTATTGTCAATTGTCAGAAAAACCTATCTAGTTCACCGATGTCCTTCAGGGAAGAAAACAACCGTCTTTTCATGGTTTGGCTTAGATGTGACTCCAAACCCATAACAATTTGGTTGACTCTTTGCTGCCCTCTGAGCAATTAGAGATGGGCAACAAATGCTGGTCTAGCCAGCAAAACACATATTCCCTGTACGAATAAAAAGAAATTCTTTTGCTTTAGTAGTGACAAGAGAGGAAGAGAACAGAACAAGAGATACTTCAAAGAATTTTTCTGAATCAAAGACAAAGACCACAAAATTAAATTTCTTGACACGCAAGCCACAAATTCACGGTGGCCTTTGCTCATTGAAACTGAGGCAGGAAAGAAGCACAATAGTTCGCCAATGTCATCAGTGTCACCCTAGCTCCAGGGTCTCCAGTGCCAATCTTTTCTGCACAACAAGGTTGACAACATCAGCTGATCACAATAGCCTACTTTGCCTTAAAGGGAAGGAAAAAAACAAGTTGGTGCAATGAAAATTCTTGGAAACTGGACACTAGAGAAGACAGAGGAATCTAGACTGATTAATACAAACTGCAAGCATTAGAATACAGGTTGTAGGAGGAGTGGTGTCCCACTCCCACATCGCACAGGAGAATCTGAAGGATGATCCTCACAAGCTGCCTTCAGAATAGAGATCAATGTCAGTGAATGCTTCTTCTTGTTACATCTTCAGCCACCCACAACACCAGCCTCTTGCTCTATTTAAAACACTCCATCCTCATCACTACCCAACAGTATTCACTGGTAGTCAGGATTCTCATGTGACATCAAGAGACTCTATCTCACCCTCACACACCTATCAATACTGCCAGTCTCTCGCACATCACAGAGCTGGGATCAGCATGTGGCAAGTCATCCAGCAATAGTGACTTGCAGTCAAACCGAGGGAAAAAGAGGATTCATTTGCTAGGTCACCAGAGGGCAAAGGGGCCGGCAACTACTGATGTACTGGACTCTGATAGAATGGCATGCAGAACAGCACTGAGTCAGCATGCAATCTGATATGGTGGGTGCATCCATTGATCTACTGGATAGCTTCTTCATGTTTTGAGCAGGTTTCAACCAAACAGAGACAGGACATGGCATAGAGTCTGTTCTGTACACATCTGTTCCTTCTCAGTGTGACACCCAGAGGCACTACGACTGCAAACCCCATGCCTGTTATATGAACAGCTCACTAATTCCTCTGCTATTCCTGTGAGATACAGCAAACTCCCAGACAAATGCAGGGATGCACCATAACACTTCCAAAACATTCCAGAGTACACAGAGACATTTTCGGTGGATAAAGTTCCACAAATGTGACTTCATCAAAATCGCTTAAAATAAATCTGAATGTAGAACCACCCTCTTTGCTACTTCATGCTTTGCTTTTTCATTACTGAATTTCATTTGGGTTGTGAAAAATCAGGACATCATTGTCTCCAAATGTTCAGACATTCAAACAGGATGGAGCAGTGTGTATTCAGTGATGGTCACTGCAGAGGTAACAGCTTGCAATAGACAGAGCTAAGCGACTACAAGACTAACAGATAAGATCTAGGCTCTGCAGTCCTGCCACATTCAGATCTAAATGGTGGTGGATTATTAAACAACTCACTGGAGAAGGAGGAGGTGGAAGAGAAGGGGGAGGAGGCAGAAGAGGAGGAGGAGGAGACTCCACAAGTATGCCCATCCTCAAAGCTGGAGGAGCCCAGCACACAGGTACAAAAGGCATTCACCTTCAGTCAGACCTGCTGAGTGGATGATCCAGCTCAACCTCCTCCCAAGGTCCCTAGCATCACAGATACTAGTCTTCAACTAATTTGATTCACTCCATGTATCAAGAAATGGCTGAAAACGTGTGATCCAGCAAAGGCTGGATGGATGCACCTCCAACGACACTCAAGAAGCTAGACACCTCTAGGACAAAGCAACCTGCTTGACTGGCACCGCAGCTAGACCTACAAAGGTGCAACAGTACAGGAAGATGCAATTCAGCCAATTTTGCACTGGTTCTCTGAATGAGTGTCATGACCAAGTGCCACTCATCTGCCTTTTCCCCACACCCTTTAAACAGGAACAATCATACAAGGCCCTCACTGTTTGAAATGCTTCAAAGGTGTTGATGATTGCACGACATTCAGTGCCATCTTCATTTACAGAAACGCCAGGGCAACATTCAGGCTTAGGTTGGTAAGTGGCAAGTAACATTTGTGTGCCACACAAGTACTAGGCAATGACCATCTCCAAAAAGAGAAATTCTAAACATCACTCTTTGACATTCAGTCACATTATCATCACTAAATTCCCCTCTATCAACATACTGCAGGTTACCATTGATCATAAACTGAACTGGGCGAGCCAAATAAATCCTGTGACTCAAAGAGAAGGTCAGAGGCCAGGAATTCTGCGATGAGTAACTTACCTCCTGTCTCCTCAGTATCTAACCACTATCTACAGGGCACAGGTCAGGTTTGTAATGGAATACTCTCCACCTGCATGGATGTGTACAGCTCCAACAACATTCAAGAAGTTCAACATCTTACAAGGCAAAGTAACCTTCTTGACTGGCCATCGTCCAATATTTTCAACATTCACTTTCTTTACCAGTGATATACAGTGGCAGCACTGTGTACCACCTACTGGATGTGGCACAGTAACTCACTAGGATTCCTCTGACACCACCTTCCGAACCTATCACTTCTAAAACCTAGAAGGACAAAGGCAACAGATGAACGGAAACACTACCATCTGCAAATCCCTTTCCAATAGCACTCTAAGTATTTCCATACGTCAAGGACTACAAGGTTCAATAAGGTAGCCCACCATCACCTTCTCCTCGACAACTGAAAATAGGCAATAAATGGTAGAACAAACAAACAAAAAATTAGAATGTTTTGTAGTGCACTCATACTTCAAATTTGGCATCAATACTGTTTCAACTTTGCAACAATGCTAAACTTGAGGTATTTGAATCAGATGTTAACAGCTAACATTAATCTGCCGCATCCTGCAGGAAGTCAAATTCCATTCACTCATGTTGAATGCTGGATTCACTGTACTATTTTACACTGTAACTGTAGCATCAATGCAGTGAAACTACTTTGCACCAGCATTAGAGCGCTAGTGTAAATGCACTAAGTACAGTATTTGGAGAACTATAGTTGAAATAATTGAAATATTTTGAAACAATATGCAAGAATTAAGAGTTTTTATAATGCTATTCTAACCAATAACTCTTTTGGAATCAATATCACAATTCAATTTATCAAAGGTTGTAAAACATATTGGTGTATAGCAGACAAAATTAACCAGTAATGAATAAAAAGGAACATCGAGTGGACCATATCGCTGGCAGTCGATCTGCTACATCCTGCTTTGTGGCATTGATAAAATTAAATTTCTCTTCCATGGTAATGTAACCAATTAGCTGAAACAAAATTCTGTTACTGCTGTGATATCAAGATGTGTGATTTAGGCATATGTACAGTATATACATCATGAAAATTAGTGTGGCTCGTCATCTCCGTCCAAAGACAGGTCTCTGGCTTATTATCCATTGATGCTTCATCCTACGCCATTGTCTTGGCTGATTTTATCATTAGGGGTTTGCCATTACCTTCTACTCTCAGGAACTGGGTGAGGATGCAGGTCCTAATTTGCCTCAGCTGGAGCAGGAATCAAACTAGCGTGGCTGGCATCATTCTGAACTACATGCTAGTCATTTAAGCTAACCAGTTCTATATATTTGCATGCAGCACAGCAACTTAATGACTCACCTTTAGCTTCATTTTCACCATCTAGCACCAGTTGGAAAACATCAGAAGCCAGAGCCAGTCCAGCCTTGATCAGTAATGATCGACTGTGTTGCAAGTTGCTATTTCTTCTGACCTTCAACACAAGAAAACAATATCTTCTCAATTTGTGAAATTGCTTAGAAGCAAATAGATTATCAACTGTGTCATGTCTGTGCACATTTTGCTTTCAACAGGTTGCCACCTCACGAGCAAACTTTAGTTTATCTTCCAACTTATTAAATATATCATACTACCACCACCAAAAAGGAACATGTACATTAATCAAAACCGTAAATTGGATAATAACATGGAGATCCTTTCTGGTTTTGCTCTCATGCAGTCCAGGAATGATTCAATGAAGTAAATTTGTTTAAACAACCTGGAACACAAATGATAGATCTTCTTTCTACCAAAAATTATTAAATGTAATTCTTTTTACATTGTGAAGTTGCCATTTTATAAGCTGCTCAGTTTGTTCTACCATCCATTTGTCTGGATGAGTTCAACTCCAACAGTACTGAAGAAACTCAGCACCATCCAGTGCACTTAACCAGCACCCCTCTCTACTGCCTTCAACATTCATTCCCTTCACCACTGATGCATGGTGACATTGTAGATCAACAAATTGCACTACAGCAACTCAATGAGATTCAGTTACGAACACCTACCAAACACATGAACTCTACCACCTGTGATGAACTCTTGTTTTGTTGTACCCATTTGATCTATGTAGAACCAGCAATCTGTTGTGAATTTGAACATTCAAGAAAGAAATGATTCCGATGGGTTTGACTGTTAGACTGCTAAATTCAATTCTGCCTGTCAATAAGGGCAATGCTCGTTCTGATTTTTCAGCAGGTCACTCAGAACAGGTCAAGAGTTACGGAACAGTCAATTTCAAGCAGTTGGATGGAGGCAGTAAAAGGAAAAGGTTGTTACCTTCAGGCTATAAGTTAGTCAAGTACTTAAGAGCAAGAAGAACCTCCATCCCTAAAAAAGGTGATGCTGTTGCAGTCTTCCAGCAGTATGGCCTCAGGAGAAGGCCTGGAAGCCAGGCAGTGTGGTTAAGTGTTGGACTCAGGAAAAGCCCTTGGAGTTGTGAGGCTCTGAAGAAGCCATGTGTAATTGTTCAGTCAGCTGAGAATGAGGGTGACTGAAGTCCACAGGCAGCATTCACGTCATGCGGCTGTGAAACTCTAGCATTTAGAAAAATGTGCAGGGGCACTACCAGCTCGGCGAAGCTAACCATCTGTAGGCAAGTGGAAATTATGCCTGTGTACAGCAACAAGAGAGCAGTTCCCAGAAATAAGGGGCTGCAGACCAGATTGCAAGGGTGAACTACTAGAACATGAGCAGTCCTTCAGGCAGTCCTAAGACAGCGGTTTCTGGAAGAGTTCCAAAGCTAGGTCTTCAAAAGTGAAGAACAGTACTGTAAGAATGGAAGAATGTAAAGTTTTAATGAGATTTGGTGACCTACAGTGACTAACATCTGGGGAATGCTATGAAATATATTAACCACATTTGTTATTTGATCTATTCTGTGCAATATTCAAGCACAGTTTATTTGCTACCTATAAGTGGATTGTATTAATTTTGGGATATTAGAACATAAGTTGTGTGCATTGTACAGCTGTAACTTTGTGCCTTAAAGCTTATTACTGTTTGTTCAACACCATGGATTCAGGAGGCACTACTCTATTAAGTGCCCAGATTGTACACTTTGTTTACATTTTTAAAAAATTCCTGGCCCTAGCAAAATTGTAGCATAAATTTGGCAGTTGAAGGCAAGCGCAACAGAAGTAGGGGAACACCAAGCTCTCTTCCAAGCTACATACCATCCTGACTTGGAACAATACGTCCATTCCTTCATTATCTCTGCGTCAGCATACCATCTATGGTGGATCTACTCCCCATGGACTGCAGCAGTTCAATAAGAAAGCTCACAATAACCTTCTGAAAGGCAACTTGGGATGGGGAATGATGCCCCACATCCAATGAATAACTTTTTAAAATCCTCATTTTCTTTTACTATTTACCATCTATTTTTAGCTTCGTGGCATTTGATTAAAATACAATTTCTTCACTTTCCTCATTTATTCTTTGTTGTATCCGTAAAGGTTTCTACCTCTTCCCATTGATTATCCTAGACAGATCTTCCTTCCCCACACAACAGACAATTGCCAGTAAATTGTTGCACTTAATAGATGTTTTTACAACTGCTGCACGTCTAAGATCCAGCAGCCTTTCAGGTATGACTACCTGACTCAAGCTGCCTTTTTTAAAGTTAATTACACTACCTTCTGAGCTTGTGCCATATGCCTCATCACAGAATCTTCCACTTAATTCTTAGGTCTGAATTTTCTTAAGTCTGGAAATGGTTTCCAGCTTAATTAAAATGCTGCGAGAGCCCCATTTCCAGAAGTCCTGAACCCAAACCTGACATCTACCATTTTTACTGGAATTTTCGTGAGTGGGGGTGGTGTTTTGGGTGGCTCGTGGTTTGTGAATTGCGGATCCATGGTTTAGTGAGGTTACTGCACATGTAAAAGTGAAGCTGACCTCAAACAGATCCAATTTTCAAAACTGGGCCTTAGACCTTTCTCAAGCTGCTGGACAGATTTCAACAGGTAGGATACACTTTGGGAAAGGGTGAGGAAAGGAATGTCTTTTACATAGATCTATCCAAACACACTGAACGTGCTTCAACCAAATGGCCACGTATAAAAGTCAAAGAGGAGCAATCCTTAGGAGGATGAAGGGGGACTATAGTCAGTCACGAGGTGCCACCACAACTCAATCAATGGCGTTTTCCAATTCCAGGCTTGGCCACAGTCACCCAAGCGCTTGGCCCTTTCAGAATTAAAGGATCCGTGCCCTTGCAATCCAGAGATTAGGCCAAAGTCAGTCCTATAGGTCCACTGCAACCAACCTGGAGATGACAGGTTGAGACACTGTGGAGTCATCAACCCAAGAGGTGGACCAATGTTCCCTGCAATGAGTCACAGGGAGCAACAAAGTATGATGAAACTGATCGGAAGAACAGTCAGTGATGATGCAAGGACAGGAGAGGTGGTGAGGTGTACCCAGAGATGATGTTGGAAGCACAGAGGGCAGGAAGGGTTGGAAGTTTGGGAGGATGAAGTGTGTGGCAACCATTGACTGAATATGATGTATGTAATAGTGAGTATGGTAGTCCATCAGCTTCGGTGAGATGTGTGTGAAGTGGCAAAGTCACAGTGAGTGCTGGCCCTATGGTTGTGAGGCAGAATAGAGATGATCGTGACACTTACACTTAGAGCACAGAAGATCATTGACAAATTCAGAAATTGCTGGAAAAACTCAGTAGATCTGGCAGCATGTGCAGAAAGCAAGCAGAGTTAACACTTCAGGTCCAGTGACCCTTCTTCCGAATTCATCGGTTTCATTTTTTACAGAAGGTCACTGAACTTCTTCCTGCACTGCTAGGCATTCCTCTTAGCCTAGGACACACAGCAGACCAGGGCCACTATCTGGGTTCAGACTAGCTGTGTCTGGTGGTGTGGCCTCCTGCAGCAGTCAGCAGGAAAAAACCCTGCCCTTCTTGCCACCTCCTTGTCCTCAAGCACTGCCAAACTACTGTCTGCAAAGCAGGGCCAAGCATTCTGTTCTGGGCTATGTCTTCAGTGATAGTGGTCGAGTGCCACAGTGTGAGGGGCAACTCCTGGCTTGCAGCATCTGAAAGGTGTGCAGCTTTAAGTATGACATCAGTGACTTGAATACAAGGTTTCTCAGTTCAGGAGTAAAACTCCAGGCCTCATACTCCATCTCCAACCTTGCAACTAATTACTGACACATAGCATAAACATCCCACTTCAACCCAAGTAAAAATATATTTGTCCCCTTAGTTACATAAAAGCCTTCCAACTGAAGCAATTAATGAAGCTAAAACTGAAGCTAAAATAATGCAATTTTTGTGTGCCTTAACTTCTCGATCTGCTGGATTGTCATGGTAGGTTGTAGACATCGCAGTTTCAACAGGAGCTTCTGGACAAAAAGGCACAGAAAGGTACAGTAGTTTTAGTGTTCTTTAAAGATTAAGAGCAGAGGAGCCCTTCCCCTTGAAACTCTATACTTAACTGAATGACAGGTGCTGTCCCTTTTGATATTCAGCAGCAACCTTTTTAGCATCCACAAGTTAGAACTCAATACTCCCTGACCAATGGGAGTTTAACATAGGATTTTGTGTTTCTATTCCTAGCTTGTGACGTATTTAAATCCATCTCATAGTAACATACTTGCATATTCACTGGTATTATTTGGATGTACTTACGCCTATAGATTGAAAACCTAATGAGGTACAATATAGCATGAAGTAAAACACAATTGGGTTGGTCTCTCAAGCTATAATCAAACAGTTTTAATCTGTATATTTTCACCATAATTCTTAAAACCTCTTTGCATTTTACCTGTTCAATCATCTTGATTGCTTGATCTTCTAGCTCTTTGGGAGAGTCATAAACTCCTGAATATACTTGCAAACGGTGCAGTTCTTCAGTAATGTATTTTTCATATGGTCCTTTATTACAGAGAGAATAAGCTTTTTTAAGTTGCTCCATGGCAACCTCTATCCGTTCCTCATCTTCTTCAATCTGAGCAATTTCTATATGAACTTGACAGCGGAGCTGGGACAAAGAACTACACAATTTAAAAGAGAAGTGCAAAGTTCATGAAAGGCAATTTAATATTATATAAAAAAAAGAGTTGGAAACATTATTCTTCCAAATTACAAAATGGAAACATATATCATAACATTGATGTCAATGGTCATGCATTTACAATTTGGTGGCTTAACCCAAAAAAGTGTAATGTACAATTCAGTCAAAAAATATTTCTAATAAAAATTAATTTTAGCACCTTATCGATTGATTTGTTTGCATATCACCATTATAAGTCAATAGAGCCTGAAAATTAGTTATGTCATTAATTATTTCCCAGAAGATTGAACTATGACAATAAGACATCTCCATCGTGATACTGGAGTTCTAAAATAAAAACAGGAATTGCTGGAGGCCCTCAGCAGGTAGAAGCAGAATTTTTCGTTCCCTTGAGGAATATGGACAATAGCAAGAAAGTTAGGAAAACACACAGAGAATGGTAAAATCATATTTCCAATATTGAAAAAAAGTTTCCATTCTCACATTAGGGTTTAAACAAAGAGTTATGAATTACATTAAGGAGTGGCAACTTAATCATTAAGCTGCAGAGTTTGTCAACAGCAAAGGTTTCCATTCGAACAACGTCCAGTTTATCTCTGACCATCAATAACAGATTTTGAGGGTGTGTACCATATATCCTGGAATTGCAACAATATGCAAATACTGGGAAAAAACACAGGTTGCTCCATCCTTCCAAGGTCCTCTGGCCATACAAGAATATCTCCTGGGAGACCATGTCTACCCCTCCAAAAGCAGATAATGTATCTAATAGCTCATCAGTATGCTTTTTTAAGACTTGAGGATGAAATTCATCACAACCCAAACAACTATCAGCTGCAGTTCCATCAGCTTTTTTAGTCCTCCTTCCAGTGTGACTATAATGTCACAGAGTTTCTCTCTCCCTTCCACCTTCTGATTTATAAACATTACTGCAATGTTGTTGTATCCACTCAAATAAAGACACAAGTAAAATATTAGTTCATTTTATCTACCTTTTCTTCGCTATGGACTCCCAATCTCTTTCTCTCTCTATAGAACCAACATTCATTTTACTTACTCTTTGCCTTTTTTAGATAACTGTTGAAAATCTTGCTATCCATTTTTACATTTCTAACTAGCTTTCTCTCGGACTGTAAAGTCTGATTACACCTCTTAATTAACAGTTTAGTTATTCTCTGCCATTCTTTACTTTTGATTAATTATCTAGCTCGCACTGATAATGCACTGTGGGGATGCTAAACTAATTAATTCTGGGAGTTCCACACCCCAGCAGGAGGAAATCCTGATTTGGAAATCCTGGTTGGCCAGCGCCTGCATCACCCCAGGGAGTGCCAGGATTCAGTAGCTAGCACCGCAGAAAGTGGCCTGAAAGGATCACGGCTGCCAGAGAAAGATAACTCTCAGGGATTTATGGTGAGGAGGTATCCTAGAACCCAGGGAGGGAGAAGAGACAGGAATGGGATGGGGCCAATTCCTGTTCAACAGGCAGCACAGGTGGCACCTCAGCGGGTTGTCCCACTGCGTACAGGAAATGAGGTCCCCACTTTCCCACCTTTCAAAAGGTGTTAAAAAATAGGTTACCCACTCCTGTTTGATTGCCTTGCCAGTGTATTATTGGCCTCCAACTAAGCTTTTTACAGAGTCTCAACTGACTCCTAAGTATTTATCTGCATGAATGGACTGTCGATTCTGGTGCTGTCTAATCAGGGGTGAGCTTGTGGGTACGTGAGAGGTGGTGGGCTATTTTGCTTCTTTCCCATATGAAAATGCACCTAGTGGAGGCTTGTAATATTCAGCCCCCTGTATCCCACCACAGATCAGATGCTGCCAGATCCGCTGAGTTTCTCCAGCGTATTCTGTTTTCATATATCTTCATATACTTTCATGGGATGTGGGCATCACAGGCAAGGCCAGCATCTCTCATAGCTTTAGCTAAGTGGTCTGCTAGGCCACTTCAGAGGGAATTAAGAGTCAACCCCATTGCAATGGGTCTGGAGTCACATGTGGGTTAGTCCAGGTAAGAAGAGCAGATTTCCTTTCTAAAAGACATTCTATTCTGGGACTTTTGCACTGCTCTGCCAATATTTTTGCTGAAACATTAAGTAGCTAAACATTAACTCAAGAGCTCTAACTTAAGAATTTAGATATTAACTTAATGTCTTGAATTAATATTACTTACATAAACTCTGTCAAGTAGAAGGTAAAACAATGGAGCTTGTCGGTCTTTTGGGACATAACAGTGACATGTTTGATAGATTGAAGGGGACAATCACCAGTTCAATTTGCTATTTCTCAAGTAAAATTGTGGGAAACTAATTTTATTACTGGCTGGGAAAATAATAGAGAATTTGGTCTCTTAGTACATTGTTCACCCCTTTATTATTAAGGAAAGTATTTGAAATATGTCTTGTGCCCATTTCAAATCATGTATAAAGTTAGCCATGGTTGTAAGAAAAAATAACGTGATTGTCAGTTGAGTGAAAGAAAGTTATTTCCCTGTTAAAATGACATTTCTGATAATAGTTGTTCCTTTTGTGCAGCAAATGACGTAAGATGCCACTCTATTCTGAATGCTACTCCAAACATTTCCTACAGATTTAGCAGAAATTAAAGAATCTATTTCAAATAGTAATTTATGCAAGATTTATTCCAAGGGCAGATTTTTTTCTGGAAGTTTGATGTAGAATAAAGCTGACACACAAATGATCCTGGTGGACCTAAATGAAAGTATAACATAATGAACAATTTTCAACAGCACAATCATATTGCAATATATCCATTTCCACCCACTGCTACAAATTTACTGGGGTCGCCTTTTTGCTTTACTTCCCTTCCTTTTTCTTTGCAAACCGTTAAGGTTAAAGAACAATTAAAGCCTTTGCTGAAGTAATAATGTTTCTGCATATTTCACAATACTCTACAAAATAAAGTTAATCAATAAATAAACTGGTCAATATGGACACTGTTAATTCACAAACAGAAGTACGATAAAAACTTTTATAAAATAGCCATAACCAAACTTGTTGTTGCAGAAGAACATAGGCAATTCTAAATGGACAGATTTTGTGCAGTCCATTCTCATATTCTTGTTCTTCCATAGCTTATTGTTTTGCATGTTCAGTAAGGAACATAAAAGTATGAAAAGTATCACTGATTTTGTTCAATCTTGGTAATCCTTAGTTTCATGCTCATTTTAGGTAAAAGAAGATCAAATGTTTTTAGGCCAGTTCAGTGATAAAAATGCTAATGCTTTTGAGATGTGATAGAAGAGGTAAATGTTGAAGCTTCCTTCGATTTGTATTAGATTTTGCATCACTTTGACTTGCTGTTAGACTCACTTCCATGCACATAATTTACAAATACAGGAAAAGAAGTGTGCAAAGGCAAGAACTGCCATACCAGGGCAGAATTTTACATTCCAAACCTGGTGGACTTGTGGAAGAAGGGTTAGGAGGGTAACAGAATGGCCAATAAACTGTCTTTGCATGACCTTCCAGCTGGCTTTGCACCCACCATGATCTCTTCATAATTTTTCAGTGGGACAGCCAAAAGCTAGATTGGCTATCCAGCCCAGCAGTGCCCCAGTTGAGAAGCTTGCATGGACAATTAAAGATGATATAAGGCCTCATTCTCACCCGCCCCAATTTTCAAACTGGCAGGAGGAGCTCAGGGAAAGGATGAGGCTAGCAACATGACCCTCTCAGCATTCAGCTGGAAATAGTGAGCACCTCCATCAACTGTTTCCTTTCAGCATCGAGTGCCAACCCGACTCCAACAAGGTCTGGCCCCTGCAAGTGCTACCATCACAGCCATCAGGCCAACATTGCTGCTGCACTCTCAGTGCACTCCTCAAGGCCTCATCTCCCCTAATTACTTGAGATTCAAACAATTAGTCCTGGAGTGTCAGGACCTGATTTCTCCCAGTCCTGGCTTTTGGCACTGCTGGGAGCACAGAGCTGATTCTCCAGCAGTCGCAGGAGGTGGAGAATTACTCCTGAGTGAGGAGCAGAAGTCCCAAACTCACGCAATTAATGCTCCCATGTCAGAGTAGGAAACCGCATCCTCAAAAACTTGGCCAAAATGGCAAAACCTGCATGCATGTCGAATTTCATCACTTTAGAATTTCCTTTCACAGCTTCTTTAAGACTTTTCCAAATTTTCATTCAGGAAAATCTAACTTGTACCAATGAAATTCAAAATCATCAATCCAAGTGGAGGAAACATGAAGGTGGATTTTTCTTTCCAGTTTATGTTGGATTGCAGTGGAAGCAAGTAGAATAAAAAGTGGCCTTTGCAGCCATACCACTAAAGGTTTTGGAAGATGTTAATGGTGGGAGAGAATCTTTCTATTGGATGGTGTGGAGCTGATATTCCATCCAGTCAGGCATTCACCCTGCAGAAGCTGAAATCCAGCCCTGACTTTCTGCTCTAACTTCAATATACCTTCCATTATCCTGCAAGAATCCTATATAATTTCACCATCTGCCAAATGCAACTATTTATATGATGTACAGCCTATATTCCTGACCCATTTCACCCCAATCCAACTGTCTCAGTTTTGTTACATTGCAATGTACCCACTACATTTGATTAAGGAGCAACTGCTATTGATATTTGCTTTTAAAAAGTAACTATTTTACATTGTAGTTACCTGTCAAGATCACTGAGAATTGAAGCCACATTGGTCAGTTGTTTAGAAATATTCTTACGCAAATTGGGTTGAAGCAAAGGTAGACAAAGTTTCCACTGTGTTATACACACAATCTGGACTAGATTCCAGTTCTTCGCACGTATGGCATTCTGTAGAACTTCATCTATTCGTTGAATTACTGTCAAGCAATGCTTTAAAATGGAAAATTACAAAACCAGATTAACAGCAAAATCCATCATATAATCAAAGAACAAAGAACAATAGAGCACAGGAACAGGCCCTTTGCCCCTCGAAGCCTGCGCGACACATTTTGCCCTTCCATACTAAAACTGTTTTCACTTACAGGATCTGTATCCCTCTATTCCCTTCCTGTTCATGTATTCGTCCAGGTGCTGCTTGAATGCCGCTATTGTGTCTGCTTCCACCACCTCCTCTGGCAGTGTCTTCTAGGCACTCACCACCCTTTGTGTGGAAAAACTTGCCTTGCACATCTCTTTTAAACTTCTCCCTGTTCCACACCTTGAACCTGTGTCCCCTAGTAATTGGTCCAGCCGCCCTGGGAAAAAGCGTCATACATTCCACTCTATCCATGCCATTCACAATCTTATAAACTATTAGGTCACCCCTCAATCTCCTGAGTTTCAGTGAAAACAAACCCACTCTATCCAACTTTTTTCATAGTCAAAATCCCCCATACCAGGCAACATCCTGGTAAACCTTTTCTGTACCCTCTCCAACACATCCACATCTTTCCGGTAGTGTGGTGACCGGAACTGTTCACGCTATTCCAAGTATGGAATATTCCAAGTGCGTCTAATCACTTACCAAAGTTTTAATATATGTTTCTATTTGAGTATAAAGTTATTAAATTCACTTCCATAAATTAAATATAAAAAATTGTAAACCATATATGTAAAAACTCTACTCTACAGAAAATCTGATTGCACCTGCACATAAATGAACAAGTACTATATGATGCGTGTTTAAATACGATATCCAAAGATCAGTGAACATTCAACCAATAATTAACATTCTATGTATGTTTCAAATATCATGCATCATAGATTTCATAGTTTTCCTTTTAAAAATGATCATTTGTTTAATTCTATTTTGCAGAAAATAGCATATTTCATAAACAGCACCTTTAATCATTAAATCATTCTAAATCTATCCACATTCACAATGAATGCTGCAGCCAAAAAAAAAACTGACGTAAACAACCATACTTTTACAAAGCCTTTGGTGCATTTCTCTGACTTAGCTCCAAGTTTCAGTACTGAGAGTTCTGATTCCACGCATTCAAGTTCCATTGCTGTCGCTTTATCCTGGACAATGAAAATTAATAAAAGTCATGCATTATATTGTTAAATTGAAATTAAATTGCACAAAACTAATAATGTTGTTAATATGTTTGTTTTAAACTCTTTTGACTCCTATTCTCACAAAGATATTCACCCTCTATTATAAACCAAATAATAGTTTAATGAACAAAAACAAAGTTGCTGGAAAAGCCCAGCAGGTTTGGCAGCATCTGTGAAGGCAAAAAAACAGAGCTAACATTTTGGGTCCAGTGACCCTTCCTCAGAACTGATGTTCTGAGGAAGGTCACCGGACCCAAAACGTTAACTCTGTTTATTTCCTTCACAGATGCTGCCAAACCAGCTAGGCTTTTCCAGCAACTTTATTTTTGTTCCTGTTTTACAGCATCCACAGTTCTTTCGGTTTTTGATATTCTAATGGAATTAGAAATTAGAAACAAAAGTACTTGACTAATTATATCAATATGCAAGCTACTCACTTTGAATGTTAGATTCCAACTTAGAAAATCTCAATATGATTTTCCTTATTGATACAAGGAATCCTTCCAAAGATTAAATCAGTCACTCTCAATGGAGAGAAACAAGAAAAAAAAAGTGACTTGTCCACATTACTCAAGGGGAAATAATCTTAGCTGAAGGACGTGCAAGCAGAGAGGAAATAGGTGAACACCACGCAGTTAACAAGACCAGACAAAAGGATCCCCTGAGTGATTCTTCCTTTTCAACTAATATTCAGTTGTGAACACTAGTGAAGTTAAGGATCCCTCTGGCAATGCAGCTGGAGCTAAGTCCACTGCAACATGGGTATCTCAGTTGTGCTTTGATATTTTTTCTGGTTAGCTTCATGGTACTTCCGAGTTACTCTCCTCTTGCTGCTTTTTCCACAAGACTCTGTGGATGTTTCTGCTATCTCCAAGCTATAATAAATCTTCCAATTACTATCCCTCCCAAAATTCAAATTGAGCTTATGTCACCATGAGTGAGGCTTATGTAATTAGTATTTTCTCTGCTTAAACTGCAGGCCTAAACAACAGAGCTCTGATGAAGAGTTATCTAGACTCAAAATGTTAGCTTGCTGTCTCTCCACGGATGCTGCCTGACCATCTGTGATTTCCAGCATTTTTTGTTTTCAGTCTGAATAGGAGGTTTTACTGCAAATTTTCCAGAGAATTGCAGTTAATTACAATAAATTTGCAAGAGTGGGGGATTCCCTGATTAAATAAAATATGACAATGATGGCAGGATGGGTGATGTGTTCCTGCTGCATCGTGATAAACCTACTAATCTGCAGCAAGAATTTGCAGTTCAAGGAAATTCTGATCCAAGTTGAGGAACTGAAATCCGAGCTGCAGATGTAACACCATAGGGGAGGCAAAAATTACCTGGAGACTTGACATAGTAAATAAAAAGTTAAATATGTCACACAAAGATCTGTTTTTTCCCCTTTACACATGCTGCCAGCCCTGCTGAGCTTTTCCAGCAACTTTGTTTTTGCACACAAAGATTGATATGGGAGGACTGAGTTTCTGTTGGCACTGGCACAAGTACTAGGGTAGAAAGGAGCTGTTCCAGACAGGGGATAGGTAGCCTTACAAAGCAAAAGATTATGAAAGCATTGCAGGACAGCTATTTAGGTATCGATACTCAGACACAAAAGCAGACAGTGCACAAACATTAAAAAAATTGCAAATAGTGTCAAAGGGTCAAAATGGTAAAGCAAAACATCTGTGGCTGTTTACTTAACTGCACACATTATATGAAAAAATAAATGAATTAATAGCACAAGTAAATGTTAATGGATATGATCTTTTAGCCAATACCAAAAATGGGGCTGCATATTACATTTTCTTGGCTAAGTCCAAGTTACTTCGAGTTTTTTTTGGAGAAAATGCCATTGTGAGATTGAGAGCATTCTTTTGCCCTATCTTACTAAACTCATATCTTTAATTACCTTCCATTCCTCTATGAGGTCTCTCATGTCCAAATTTAGCCCCCTCTACTATATGCCATTCCCAGAATAATTTGCCACTCAGTAGATATCCCAGAATTCACCAGCGACATTTGCCCCTACGCCATCATTAAAAGTCCACTGTGCACCCAGACAAGCACTGTCAGTCCAAAGCCACCCTGTATGATTCCTGGCATTTGCCCTACATGTGGCTAATGAGGGAGAAATCGATGCCCCATTTTGCTGGGAATCCTGGAGGTTGTGCTAGTCAGGACCTTCCTCCTTCCCAGGACCAGCAGTGAAGGCCACAATACTAGACAGTGCCAGCTTAGTCCGAGGTTGTGACTGGGGTTAAAGCTGTCTGAACCATCTAGAGGAGTGCCCTGTATTGTAGGAAGAAAGTGAATGTCCTTCTCTACTCAGCCAGCATACATTCCACCATCTTCTCTCTGATACCTCACACTCCCGCAATCTGTGTTACTGTATCCACCTCCCAACAAGGCTCAAGCTCTCACTATTGTGTGTAATATCCTCACCACTCACACTAACCCTGAATGCCCTTGATGCTTGCAAAACACTTACACAGGACACCTCCCTGCCTGCACCAACAGTTATAGCTGTGCCACAAACTTTCATCTCCCATGATACCTGCCTCTTTCTCATTCCATAAGAGAAATAGTCCCCAGTTGAGCCAAAAGAGTCAAGGCAGGTCGTGTTCAGCCCGTCATTCAGCTCCTCACCCCTTATGAGTAAGGAATTCTGACTGATCGCTCCTTAGACTGCTGGTGGAGGCTACCCTTGACTTAATCGGCAGGGGTCCACTTGATTTAAGATTGCTAACAACTATGACAAGCTTCTGGGTTTTGTGTCTGCAGAAAGGCAACAGCTAGTGGTACTATCACTGGACTCGTAATCCAAAAGACTAAGATGGTATGTTGGAGACGTGGGCTTGAACCCCATATGGCCAAAGGTGAAACTTGAATTCAATACAAAGAAAAATGGAATGAAAATTTAGCTGTCAATTGTCACAAAAATTATCTCATTCGCTAAAGGCTTTTAGGGAACAATATTTGCTATCCTCAAATGGCCCTGCCTACCCATGAATTAAAACCAACAGCAGTGTAATTGGTTGGGTAATTAGGAATAGGCAATAACTGCTGGCCTAGCCAGCAATGCCCTCATCCCATGAACAAATCTAAAAAGAGGCACAGTAAGACAGCAGTAATAGGATCCCAATATCTCTGGCTGAGCAGCCAAAGTGCAAAAAGGCAAGGCAAGGCAATGCAGGGATGCTGTAAGCATCTAAATAGCTCAGAGTGAGTGAGCGTTATGAGTGTAAGTGGACAGCCTGGTCCAGTCCATAAGCTGGGTGTAGTGCCCTTGCAGCAACATTACACTGACAGTACTCCTTGGGCTGCACCAGCAACTAAGCACCAAAGCACCAAAGCACGCTGGAATTGAACTGTAGATGTACCATGAGGGCTGTTAGAGGCTGGCACATGTTAGAAGCCAATGCCTGTGGAAATGGAACGCATGTAGCTGCTGACCATGGGACGGACGTGACTGGAGGCCATAGAGTGTTTCCCAAGATGCTGGTGTCTAGTTTCCAACGTAGTTTGGGATTATGGTCAGCATGGACTGGTTGGACTATTTCCATGGTGTATTACTCTATAACTCCATGAAGGTCATTCAGAGCAGGCAACAAGCCAAATCTGCCAGGTGCTCCGTCTGGTTTCCTTGTCAAGTTTCACCTACGTCGAACTTGTTTGGCTACTTCGGTAAGATGGGAAGCTGAATATTAATCTCACCATAGCCCATGTTGCTTAGACCCCAAAGGATTCCACCCGTGCTTACAAGGAGATCGAAGGTAGGAACTAAATATTCAGGACTGTATGACTTTTTGAAAAGACAGGCAGGATGGGAAGAGTGGTGGTTTAGGTGTGTTAGTACAAGATAGAATAAGTACGAAAGCAAGAAATGATCTTAGATCGGAAGATATAGAATCCATTTGGTTGGAGTTAGGGGATGAAGACTTAGTTGGAACACTCTACCAGCCCCCTTACAGTAGCTATCCTGAGGACAGGAAGAGAAACCAGAGATGGGGGGGAGCGGGGGCATGTAAAAAGGCAACGCAGGGGTCCCAATTTATGAGCATCTAAACACAATCTCATACAGGAGAGTAATATTAAAGATCCAACATTCAAACATTCCTGTACCTACAAATGGCTCCTTTACATTGTCCTGTATTGTTTGCCAATTTGTACAAATCGATTTGCAGGTGGACCACAGAAAAGGAATGCATTCACAACTGGGGACTGTACATTAATTGTAGGGGACTTTAAGGAGATTTAGAAAATCAAATATTCAAACATAGCCACGATGAAGAATTCATAGCGTGTATTCGGGACAGATTCCTTAAATAATATGTTGCGGATCCTACCAGGAACCAGGCTATTTTGGATCTATATAATGGGGCAGTTTTAACAAATAGTCTCAGAGTGAAAGATCCCGTGGGAAACAGTGACCATAATATGGAGGAATTTAGCATTCAGTTTGAGAGTGAGATATTTGGCATAGAAACAACTGTACAAAACTTAAAGGTGAATACAAAGGAATGAGGGCAGAGCTAGTGGACTGGAGTGGAAAAGAGTTTCAGAAAGACAGATAATGAACAATGGCAGACATTTAAGAAAATAGTTTATGACACAACAAAAATATATCCCAGTGAAGGAGGAACCTGGGAAGTGGTCGAACCAACCATGGTTAGATAAGAAAGATAAAGAGGATATCAAATTGAAGGAAAAAAATAAACAATATGGAAAGATTTGTGGCAAGCCAGAAGGTTGGGAACAATTTGACCAAAAAAAAATTCAAACTAAACATTGAGGGTAAACTTGTAAGTAATATAGAAACAGACAATAAGAGCTTCTTCATGTATACAAAATAAGGAAGATAAAGACCAAAGTGAATAAAAGTTTCTTAGAGGATAAATAATAATAGGAAATCAAGGAATGGCAGAAGAGTTGGACAAATATGTTACATCAGTCTTCATGGTAGAATACACAAACAGCATTCCAAAAATTCTAAATAATTAAAATGCAAAAATGCATGGAAGAAATACATACAATGTTTATCACTAGATAAAAAAAAGTATGAGGGAAACTAATGTGACTGAAGGCCACTAAGATATCTGGATTTGATGGGGTGCATTCTAAGGTATTAAAAGAAGTAGCTACAGAGAATGTGGATGGACTGGTGGTAATCTTTCTAGAGTATTTAAATTCTGGAAGAGTGCTAGAGGATTGGAATACTCCAATAAAAGGATGCAATAGCAGAGCATTTAGAGGTAACCTAAAATCTATAAACCTATAATCAAACAGAGTTAATGTGGCTTCATGAAATGGAAAACACATTCCTGAAAAGTGTGTTATAATTCTTTGAGGAAATAGCAAACAAAATAAAGGGGAACCAGCAGATGTAATATGTTTGGATTTCCAAATGGCTTTGCTAAGGTTCCACACATTCGGCTACTTAATACGAAAAGAGTCCATGGTGTTGGAGGTAGTACATTAAAGACAGAGTTTGGATAAGGGGAGCATTTTCAGGATGTAGCACAGATGGTGGAGTGCTACAGGGATTTGTGCAGGGGCTATAATTAGTTATAATGGAGATGAATGATGTGGATGAGGGAAGTGAGTGTACTACTGCCAAGTTTGTGGATAACTCAAAAATAAAGTGGGAAGACAAGTGGTGAAGATGACACAAAGGGTCTACAAAGGATATAGATAGGTTAGGTAAAGGGGTCCAGAACTGGGAGATGGAATATAATGTGGGAAAATGTGAGGCTATGCCCTTTGACACGAAGAATAGAGCTGAATATTATTTAAATGGAAAAAGACTGTAAAAAGCTGCAAAAATTTGGCCCACCCACTTAACCTCTCTACATGCCTCTGTAAACTCATGCTTAATAACTGCCTTCTCTCCTGTTTTATGTCACAGCATCTGTGGAATTCTTTACAGACAGCAATAGAGGTTGAGTCGTTTAGTATATTCAAGACTGAGATGGACGGATTTTTAATCAGTAAGAGAATCAAGGGTTACAGGGAAAAGACAGGAAAGTGGAATTAATGATTATCAGTTCAGTCTTGATCTCAATGAATGGCAGAGCAGACGCAACGGTTAAATGGCATAATTCTTCTCCAATGTCTGATGGTCTAATGAAACGTTGCATTGCCATATCCAGTTTCCAATGCGTTCACATCTCCTGGTTTGGTGAGTAATGAAGTTCCATAAGTGTCTCCTGAGAATTTCAAACTGACATCCAGCAGTTAGCTCCATCTCAGTGATTCCTTCTACTAGCCTCACTAAGGAAAGCATACTTTCCAGTGAGCTTGCATTACACACTCCTTCTCATTGACCATTTGGGATGTGTAATAAATTTGGAACTTGCCGGCAATGCCAACATCCCATGAATGAATTTACAAAATTGTCATCGTTGTGGAAGCACTAAACTAGTCCCATATCTGTGTTCAGATAATGCATAGTCTAAAATTATTTCTGGAATGTACACCATTTTAATGTCAAACTTTGATTGATATAAATACATTCACACTGCTACTTACTATTCGCTCTGCCTTCAGGAGATCACTAACACAGTTTGATGCCATTTCAATATCCTTTACTTCTATGGCGAGATGGGTTAAATCCAATAGCAAAGAAAGCCTAGACAGTGACAGTAAGTGAATGAAATGTTAGTCATAAAATTCATAACAGATTATTCAAAACATTACACTGCATGGCAATCTGACTTCGTCTAACAAAGCAGAACCCCACGTATACTTTAAACATGGTTACAGTCAGATTACAATCATGAAAATAGGCTGTATCAAATGCTAAGAGTTTAGATTTATCCTGTTTCAAAACTTTTAGAAGAAGCATAACACAATTGTAACAACAAAGAATGAATGCGAGCACGCCTGGATTTTGTTTGCATTCGTGTCACCTTGGATGAAAGTATTTCAAAAGTTGCATTTCATTCCCGGTAGTTTAGGATGCCATGACGATGTGCCACATCAAATATTCACTTCTGATTTTCATTGTCTGGATTCACATTCCAGAGTTTAAAAAAAAAGACAGCTTCAACTGGAAAAAGACTGACAATTTACTGAAACAACGGGATACTGACCAACATTAAAATTGCTGCCAAGTTGCATCACTTTAGGCACATGCTATTTCAGGGAGACAGGAGGTCTATGAGGAACTAATAAGGTCAATACATTCTTGGAAAGGTATAAACAGCTTGCTTCCTCCCCTACCAAAAATGAAAATTCAAAATGTACAACAGGATATTACAAAGTAATCACCATTATGAACCTATGAGGAACATGACTGCTGATGTGACCTCAACCAAGTTGTCTTTTTAGAATAGACTATAGACTTCTGTATTTCAAGGGGGTACTTAGAGAGAAGAGATATGGCCAAACAAACTTTGTATGTGTACTTTAACTTGAACTGGCAGAAGATACCAGTAGGGATAAGGAAAAACCACTCCCTGTATCTATCCCTCATCGCCACAGCTTACAGCCAACCCAAGATCAATAAATTGGACCTATTACTTTGAGAAAGCTCAAATAAAAACCTATCTGGTTAATGCTTTGCAAACATCCTGTAAATGGTAAAGTACAGTCACTGGATTGGTAAGCCTATTTTAACACAATTTAAGCAGAGGGTTGTTATGCCCTCTGGCCCTGGCTCCTCAACCCTCATGACATGCCAATTATGCTCCATGCATCCTCTCTCAAAGTCCTATGACATCTATCGTAGCCCTCATGCCACTTTTGTGCTTTTTGTACACCCCCATGCCACTTACCCAGTGTCCACTATCAGTACAGCTCAGGAGCTATGTAGGGATGAAAAAGTTAAAACTTCTAACAAAGAGAGTTCTCACTTATAAACACTTGATTCCAAAAGAAAACTTCCATTCTTGAAAACTATTGTAAAGACAAAATTCACTAACCACATTTAAGAGATGTAAACTTTTTTATGGCCTTGTTAAGCAAAATGTAAACTCAGCCCTTGTTTTAGATAAGAGGTTTTGGAGCTTTTGAAATTAAACTAAGCAATCAATATGGGCCCATTTGTAATTATAATCCTGGGAAACTGCAGCAGCACATGGCTAATGACCATATTTAAGCTGACCTAAGGCAGTTGTCCAGTGGTAACATCACTGGACTAGTAGTCCAGAACCCCAGGATAATATCATGGCTTTGAATCCCACCATGGTGAAATTTGACTTCAATAAAAAGAACTGAAATAAAAAAGCTCATCCAATGGTAACCACTACCTATTGTAGTACAAACCCATTTGATTCACTAATCTCCTTCCTTAACATCAAAGGCAGTCACACTCACCTCACCTCTGGAGTTCAGCTGTTTTGTCCTTGTTCAGGCCAAGGCTGAAATGAGGTCAGGAGGCTATTGGCCCTAGTGGTACCCAAACTGAGCATTAATGAGCAGTTTGTTCCTTTGCAAGAGCCTCTTGATGGCATTTTTGACAACCTTTTCTACCACTTCGTGGATCAAGAATGTACTAATCGGGTGGTATTTAGCCTGGTGGAATTGGTGCCACTTTTTTGTGCAAAGGACAATTTTCTACAAAAGGTCATAGCCAGACAATTTTCCACATTGTCAAGTAGATGCCTTACTGCAGTTGTACTGAAGCAGCTAAAATGGGGAGCAATTTCTTCTTTCAGAGGTTTGAGTGTCTTTGGAGCTCCTTGCCACAGAGACCTGTTGGAACAGAGTCTTTGTGTACACTTAAGGCTGAGACAAATAGATTCTTGACCAGCAGGGCAAACAAGGAGTTACGGGTAAAGGGCAAATAAATATGGTGGGAAGAATGGCAGATTAGTCATGATCCTATTGAATGGTGGAGCAAACTCGAGGATCTGAACAATCTACTCCTGTTTCTACTTCTTATGATCTTATGGTCTTGTCTAGTTTGACAGCATAAGCTCATAGTACTTTTACTAGAACGATATCTAGGCAATAACCTTTGAGATCAGCTGGAAATAGGAATTTGATTTCTCCATTTGGGTCCCACTCACCTCTTTCCAAGGCTTCCGAGTAGTTGTAACTGTGTAGAAATCTGGTACCTAGCACCAGCAACGGCAAACAAGAAACAACCGGTGTTATAGTAAAAATCCATTTGGTTCCTTTTAGGGAAGGAAATCACCTATCTTTATTTGATCTGACCTAACGCTGAATTTTTATTTGTTCATAGGATGCTAGCAATTGTTTATTATTGATCCTAAGTTTCTTTCATGGTCCGATACATGCAACAGGTTAGTTAACTCATAAACGCCCTCTAAAGTGGACTAGCAAGACGCTCTGTTGTATCAACCACTACAGAAAAGTTGATGAAGAATAAAACTAGGCACATCACCCAGCATCGACCTAGAAACAACCCTCTCAACCGTGTAAAGCTCTCCTTACTAACAACTGGAGACATACTACAATTGGAAAAGCTTCCCACAAACCTGACCACCAACAGACTGGCACAGTCATCCTCACAGAATCAAATCTGACAGCTAATGGCCCAGAATATTCAGTAGTTTTTTCAGTTTCCTTGTTTTGTGAAACTGCCACTGGAGGCCTGTGTTTGTCAAATTGTGATTTGATCAATTTGTGAATTTGATCATTGATGGGTGTTCCAACAAAAAAAGAGGTAGGTTATTTTAGTTCCACCCTTGTTTTCCACATCTTTTTAATGTGCTGCTTTTGTCACGTTGTAATTTGTTGCTTGCTAATTGATTGGTGAGATAACTTGGTGGTGATTTTATGAAAATATAAAAATAACTGGGTTCTTTTCTTTGTGATTTTTGTTGCTGTTACTCTGCTGCTGATGGGCAGTGCTTGTAACTTATTAACTGGGTGATTGCTCAGATAGAAATAGTGTGCAGGGATATGAGGAAAAGGCGAGCGATTGACACTAAGTAATAGAACCAGTGCTGGGCTTACAGATGGGCTGAATGGCTTCTTTGCCATCCAAAGCCTGAAAAAGGTGGTGCTGAACTCCTGATGTCATTCACAAGTTCGAGGTGGCTTTGGTGAGCAGTAGCCTCCTGTCAGAGCCTGGTCCTGTATGAACATAATTCCAAATGGACCCTGGGGTCCAATTCCTCCCCTATAAACCAGCACCCCACAATCTGAGCCAGCTCATGGAAATTCCTTCTGTGTCCTTCCATGTGGCATGGAAGAGATTCCTGTGAGGATTGCTGCTGTATACCTTTTACTTCTTCACCTTCATCTGCTGTCCAAAAATGCCCTTGGCCATCCTTCCTCCTACCAGGCAGTCGCCTCTAGAGGGCTCCCTATGCAAGGAGTCCCTCCCACAATTAATCAGGGACCTCGGGTGGAGGGGTGTTGCCTGCAAACAGGTATCCTTGGAGAAGGAGCACACAGCTTTTTGGGATAAGTGGGTAACGTAGGGGTTTTTTGTTTTGTCCTTTTTTTTCTTCAGAAGAGCTGGGTTTTTCCCCATTGTGTGGGGTTATCTTTCAGACAAGGAAAGGATCCAGAAGGGAAGATGGATACCGAGCATTTGTGTTATAGCTTTATCGTAAATCCCTCGCAAACCTCTGAATTTTTGCTGCCTAATTCAACATGTGGCTATCAGTCTGCTAAACAAGCTGCTTCAAATCAAGGATCAGATGAGGTGTAAAGAAGTGGGTATGTAATTAGGGAGCTATGACAAATCCTTCACAGTTCACATTGCAGTGCCAGCTGCAGCCATTCAGGACAGAGACAATCTCGTGTTTCGCTGATAAGTTTGCCACAAAAACAGAAACACAGGAGAATGTCCTGACACTAAATCTGCTTTGCTAAATTGCTACAAAAACAGAAGTTGCTGGAAAAGCTCAGGAGGTCTGGCAGCATTTGTGAAGAGAAATCAGTATTAACGCTTCAGGTCCAGTGACCCTTCCTCAGAACTGATGGTAGCTAGGAAAATGTCAGTTCACATGCAGAAGATAGGGTGGGGGGAGGCGGTGAGGAGTAAAAACTAGGTGGGGATAGAGCCCAAAGAGAAAGAAGAACAATTGGGCAGACAAAGGAGAGGCTAACGATCAGGCTAAGACGGTGAATAGCTGTTAATGGACACTGTTAGTGGCTAACAATAGGTAATGTGTAATGGCAGGCTATGTGACATCAAGGCCTGACTTTTGGAGCTGTTGATACTGAAAAGTTCGTTGTAAATAAATATTGAACTTTTTTTTTCAAAAAAGAACTTCCATGGGTCTTTGTGCTTGATTTAATTTGCCTGAACCCAAATTATTGCTACTTTATAATCAAACTATTCAGACATGTTGCAATAGCAGGTGGAACTAAAATTCAGGCCTTCTGGCCCTGAGTTAGAGACACTACCACTGCACACAAGACCCTTTTGAACCCAAATTATATCCCAACACTCAGTACATATCACTAGACTAACAGTTCCAGTTTTATTAAATTATATTAAGCAGTGCTAAAACTACTGCACAACATTCTCAGAAAAATATCTTTGTTTTCAGAGAACCTGGTGAATTTAACTGGCATTTTGCATCAGAAAAATAATAAATATTTTATAGCCCCTATGCTTCTGTATTAGTACAGTTTTTAACAAAATATTTGTTATGCTTTTCTCTAGAAAATATGTGACAAAATTGACACCCCTCCAGATGCCAAACAGGCTGACTAATAGTACTGTAATTTCAATACAATACTCAAGTTACCAAATAGTTTTCTCTCCTGTTCCTATGTTCAAGTCTGCAAGTGAAAGGCATTATTTGCAAGAATCCATTTTTTTTTTGTCCATTTGGTTCTGATATGGTTTTGCATGAACTTACACACAAAAATATACTGCATTATTAGGGTAAGGGAAGAATTTTTTAGTGAGGTAGAATAAAGTTATGAATTTCAATTTAAATTTAACCAAACATACCTTTCACTGTCAGTCAGCTGTCCAGTTGCCTGATCTGAACTTGCTGATGTTCTTGTTTTTTTATTCAATGCTAAAACCTGATAGATAAGATTTAATCGAACCGAGACATCCTTCGGAGTTTCTTTAGCTTCCAATTGACTGAAAGGGTCAAAATCACAGCCTTAGATTTTTTTAAAACAAGGAATTTAAGTACCTTCCAAAATGTGCAAGGATTTCCTTTTTACGTGACAGTAAAATGTGAAAATGTTCCAAATCCCACAATTGCCCAGTGCAGTCTGTCTAGTGTAGCATAGTGTAAGGTGACAACATCTTTCATTGGATGTGCAGAGAAAACCAAGTCAACGTAATATGGATCCTACAATTCATTTGACATAAAGTGCTTGCTCTGCACAGATTTCATCTTAAGATCTAGTGGCAAAATTAAGGGGGGGGGGTTCCAGGAGCTCAGGGAATTAATATTAACTCATCCACTCCCTGCACTCCATAAGATGGATAGGAGTTAAGTGGAGTGAGTTCAAACTTATAGATTGGGAAATCTGACATAAATCTACTCCCAAAATGCCCACTTCTAGTTTTAATAAAGTCAGGTGGGGGCAGATAACTAATCTCCTCTACAGGTGCAGATATTCAATTAAATATTGAAGCTACCTACTTATGATTTTATCTGTATTTCAGGGAGAACACAAGCAGAACAGATTTCCCAGGGACGAAAACAAAAATTGCAGGAAAAGCTCAGCAGGTCTGACAGCATCTGTGGAGAGAAATCGGGGTTAACGTTTCAGGTCGAGGGACACTTCCTCAGAACCAACAGTAGCTAGGAAAATGTCGGTTTATATGCAGAAGCTAGGAGATAGGGAGAGGGGGAATGGGTAGGAAGCGAACGATGGTGGGGATAGAGCCCAAAGAGAGAGAAGAATACTTGGACAGACAAAGGAGTGCATAACAATCTGGCAAGGAGGGTGAATAGCTATTAATGGTTGTGTGTATTAGCAGTCTGTGAGATAACAAGGCCTGACTTAGGGTGCTGGGATAGGGACATGGGAGATTTCAAACACTACAGTTACTAAAATCGATATTGAGTCCCTAAGGTTGCACGATCCCTAAGCAGAAAATGAGGGGCTGTTCTTCCAGCTTGCACAGAGCTTCATTAGAACACTGCAACAAGAGATGTTGGCCAGGGAACAGGATGGTGTGTTAAAGTGACAGGCAACTGGAAGTCAGGGTCTTTTTGTGGACAGAATGTAGGTGTTCTGCAAAGCAGTCACCCAGTCTATACTTTGTTTCCCGAACGTAGAAGGGACCACATTGTGAGCAGTGAATGCAGTAGACTAGATTGTCTGAAGTGCAGGTTGCCCAGGTCTGAGGACCCCCAACAATTAAAGCAAAGCAACACTGACTGAAACATACCCGTATATGACTTTCCAGTGCTGCTTGTGGGCCAGGAGGAACAGGAATGCACCCGTGACACCAAATCCATGAAGCTAACAAGGCAATCTGCCTACTGTCAGATCCCGATAGTTGTATGATTCTCACTCAATAATCCCTCAAGGGACCGCTACGCCCAAGTCCATAACCAACACAAATATTCCCAATTTAACTAAGACTAATAATCTCTCGTAGCAAATCCTTCCTTGTCCACCCCAACCCACCAATACTTCCAGGTCCCTGGCTGATATACTTTAACACACAACTTCACCAGGATATCATCCCCCATTCCCCCCAACACACAGTTCCAAGCATACCAAACCAACAACCTTTATACTTTTCTGCCGCCCACCAGCCAGTACTGATCAAATACGAAAATCAAACTTTTAAGACTCATTCACCTTGATGAATCAGAATTAATTAATTTTACCAAGACTAGTGTAATTTGTTCAGTCAGATTCATCATTGTTGCCAAGTGTTATTGTCATATGTCATTTCAAGGCCTTGCCTCTTCACTTTGGATAGTCCAGTACATAACAATACTCAGGGCAGGATTTTCCAGTCCCAGGATGATAGGCTGGGAGGTGATGGGGTAGGGGATGGGGTGGAGAGGGATTGGGGGACATGGCGAGGGACATTACACTGCTATTGAAAAATACTGACCCAAACCAGACACTTACGATTTCAATCTCTGAATTCTGTAAATGGCCGTCAATTTAGTGGAGCCTTTGACCTCTTTAGCCACTTTCAGAAGATCCACAAGCTTATGATACACCTGAAGTACAACAATTTCATGCTTAAGATGTATTCTCAAAACTATCGAATAAAAGAGTAAAATATTTGGCCCAGGTATTCCAGACTCATTGAATTTTACAGTACAGAAAGAGACCATTCAACCCATCATGTCTGCACCGGCTCCCGAAACAACTACCCAGCTAGTCCCATTCTCCAGCCCTATCTCCATAGCCATCTAAATTCATCCCTTTGAAATATATAATTCAGCTTTCGTTTGAAACCTTCTCTGGAATCCACTTCCACCACTCTCCTAGACAGCGCATTCCAAATCCAAACAACTCCCCGAATAAACAAGTTTCTCCTCATCTCACTAACTCTCTTGCTGACAATCTTGTAATTGTGACCCACTAATTACTGACATACCAACTACTGGAATCAGAATACCCTTCTTTACCCTGTTAAAACTGTTCATAATTTTGAATGCCTCCATAAAGTCACATCTTAATTTTCTCTGCTCCAAGGAGAATCAGCCCAATTTCTCTAATCTTTCCTTGTATTGAAAGTCTCTCATTTCTGGTATCATTCTAGTAAATCTCCTTTGCACTCGCTCCAAGGCTTTAACATCCTTCCTTAAATAAGGTGCCCAGAACTGAGCACAATACTCCAAATGATTTGTAGAGGAGTAGCATCACTTCCTTGTTTTTATTCTCTAGTCCTCTATTTATAAACACAAGGATCCTACAAACATTCCTAACCATTGTTTAAACTGGTCTGGCCACTTTCAGAGAATTATACATGCGAATACCGAGGTCCCTCTGCTCCTGTACTCCCCTCAAAGTTGTACCATTCTCACAATAAATAAAAAAGTCGCATCTTTAGAAATCTGGAATCACTGTTTCTGTCCTGCTTATTATATTCTGGCCATTCTTGTGTGATCCTTAACAGAAATAGAATTGTCTGTTTGGGATCGATTTGCTCAGTTCACTGACTGGATGCTGTTTGTAACGCAGAGTGATGCTAACAGCATGGGTTCAATTCCCATACTGGCTGAGGTCATCAGGAAGAGCCCAGATTCTCAACCTCACCCCTCACCTGAGGCACGGTGACCTTCAGGTTAAATTCACCAAGAGTCATCTCGCTCTAATGAGAGACCAGTCTGTAGCCAACGAAGGGCCCCCACCTGAAACATCAGCTTTCCTGCTCCTCTGATGTTGCCTGGCCTGCTGTGTCCTCCAGCTCCACACTGTGTTATATCTGGGGACTACATGCCTGCTTCATTTCACTAAAAACTGTTTAGTCCACATCAAACCCACACGTGAAGTAAAAGATCTTGACTTCTACAACAATTTTACTGTATGCAACATCTGACTACTGAGAAGATCCCATATTTATACTCATCAGAGTAACTGAAATTAGTCTCAAAGATTATTTAATATGCTTTAGGAGGCAGTCAGTTAATAGAGCAAGACAATTCACCATTCCATATTCTGACTCGCCTTGAAAGCGAGTAAACTTTAACTGATCTCACATTTCAGTTTCCTCAGCAAACAGTTAAACTCTAACTTATCAGCAGAAAACACAGATTCTGTATTCACCGCATGACACTTCTGTCCTAATGAATTTATTACAAATTTAACATGAACATTTATATCAAAAAGAAATGAAAGAATGGTATTTCATGTTGATTTTTCCCCTGAATTTTAAGAGGCATCCCAGTTTAGATAAAAACATACAGTTCTATGCAAGCAGCATGTGCTTCTTTTATTATTAAGGATCATATATATTTGCTATACTATTATGATAATAAAGTACGTAAAACAATCCTGGTTAAACTCAAGTATCTTCTTTTATCACTCAGGCTGGATTTCCCAGTCCCAGAAGATAGGCTGTGAGGTGATGGGGAAAGAGGGTGAGCGAGATGGTATAGGGAAGCTAATCATTCTGTAATTACCGATATTTATTTCACCAAATAATTTTTATTGTTAAGCTGTTCAGCTAAATCTGTACATTTTTAAAAATGTCTAGTAAAGTATTTTACCAGTATGGAAAATATCTTCTTATACATGTGTGGAACATGAGTTTGAATGAATTCCGCTGTACTGTAGGCAAACATTGTTGCATCCTTGATTTTTTCAGCATCCAAATAACATTCAACGAGAGCACTGAGAAAATTAGAGATTTATTTAAAAGTTTGAAAACAAAACTGTAGTACTATATAATTATTAAATATTTTAAATTCCATTTGCTATTTGAGCTGACATTAACAAAGCTCACACAGAATGGGAATTGACTATGGTTGCTTCCAACTCAATACCACAGGGTGGCGCTTTGGTGTCTAAGCCACAGTGACGTAAAGATTAAACAACACTTCCATTCGGTGCTTTGAACCTTGAAAGATATTTGAGGTCAAGGCCAGTCAAATACTACAGTGAGTCTATTATGCTCGTCACTGTGTAAACCAGTACTGCCATATACTACCAACATTATGCAGATCCCGGCCCCTTCTTGATACCCGTGATCCAAATTTCTCAATTGAGACCAACTGCAGCAAAACACTGCCTCACCTTGCATAGTACTGCCAAATTTAATAACGCATCTAACAGGGATGCTCAATCGAAGCGAGCAACAGTGGTACCAAAGTTTAGAACCTAGTGCAAGTGCAACTAAAGTCTATCTCTGCCCAAATAATGGATACTTAATAATACTGTACATTGCAATCGATCAAATAACATTTCTTACCAATGTTCATAATTATTTATTAGCATTCAATAATGAAAAAATTGCTTAAAAGGTTTCCTTCAGTAGCACTAAAAAGTAAGCATTTTGTTCGACATACTATTACTCCTTTATATTTAATAATGAAATATATTTATATTATTTGTAATGTTACAAATATTGATTTTAGAATATTTAAATCACAAAATTATAATTCCTACAATGCTAGGTTTTATGATTGATAGTAATATATTGGATTAAATATGAGATTTAATAATAAAATAATGAGTAGCTTACATCCTTAATTCAGCCCTCCATTCATAGTCCAAATCATCAATAGCTTGCAATCCCTTTATTACTTCAAGGAGGCTTACAATCACATGGCCACGGAAGCCAGGTTTTATAAACGGCCTTACTATCCTCCAGTATAGAACTGATGCGTTATAAACCAAGAAGTGGTATCTGCAAAATAAGATTTTTAATTATTTTAAGGCTCACTTCTAAGACTTGACCCATTATTTAGAATTGAGTAGCTACAAAATGGAAGCATGTTCAAATTGTATATTTTTTCGAGCTTTGTTTCAGTGTGTATTCTTTTAAATCCAATCACACAATTTAAGCAATTAAAGAAGAAAACAGTGGTTTTGTATCATTCAAGTTTTCCTGATAAGCACCTTGGTCACAGGAAGAATTCAAGCTTAGACAATGATATGCTAAAACATTAGGTGGTCGAATACTGCATATTTAAGGCACATTTTTCTGAGATATTAAAGACCAAATGTGCTTAAATCAGAAAGTTAGTTTAGAGGGGAACAGTGAGATTGCTGAAAATAGATTACATGGACAATTTCAGTTTGCAACTGAAAGAGATAGAAAGGCTTTAGGAAAAAGCCAATTTATCCTTATTTCTCAATTTCATACGACTGCTTGTGCGATATATCAACAATATCTGAATTATTTTGTAATTTTAAATGACATTGATTAAATTGAAATTATCATACCTTGCTTCTTCTTTTGCAAATGATACAGTCGTGAGGATGCACCATATAGCCTTGTTTAACTCAGACTTGAAGAAAAAACATGCGGTTAGGTAGACAAAATTAATTACTTTTTCCAATAATTTAAATGAAAAATTAGATATGAGATATTTTCCCATTCAGGATGCTCAAACCATTCTAGTTCAAAATATTTGAATACAGCACCAAGATTTACAATTCAAATGAAGCAGAAAATATTGGAATTACATAAAGGAAGTCAGCCTTCAAAAAATAAATATAGGCTTAACTTTCACCAAGTATTCATGAATGTCATAAATATTTGTATGTCATGTTAATAAAATTACATTCAATACTTTTTGAATAAGAATGATGTATGATTTATGCCTGTTTCTTATACTGGACAGATCAAAAAATGAGATATTATCAACAGGTTTACAAACTCTGATGAAAAAGCACTGCACGATCATTTCAGCATAATCCTATTTCATTAAAAAAAATTGAAATTAAACTATCTGAATTAAAATGACATTGGAGAGAACTTTAATCCCCCAAAACAAGGTGGGTTGTGGTCAGGCACGATGTTAACATTTTAATGTCCAAAGCTCCATTTCCCCAACATCCTTCTGTACACCACTGAGAAACAGCCTCAAGGAGGCTAGGAATTGAAAAGCTGTACAAGGGAGGTGAGGTTCAAAAATACTTAAGGGTAACATCCCAGAAAAAAATATGAATTCATCAAATAGAATCAGGAGCCAGTGTGGGCCCAGTGAAAACCTTGATAATCAAGGTCAGCATTTTGACTGTCCATTCTTTACAGTTAAAATTGCTATTTAGTTTAGATTAAGTGTGTTTAGAGCATAAGGAATAAGGCAAGGTTCCTCCGGTATATAATTAATATTCTGCAAAACAGAGAAAGCAAATGGAAAGACAGTAACTTAAAGCTAAGTCGTGGCAAGGTAGCTTGACCAATTAAATGCTCTTTCTGAGCAATGTCGACAGTGATCAAGAACATGTCTCCTGTCCAGGGTGACCACATATACACTAAGTGCATCCAGCTGCAGCTACTGGAAATCCACATTTTGAATCTAGAGCAGCAACTGGAGTCGCCGTGGATTATCAGAAAGGCTGAGATCTTCATTTATAGCACAGAAGTGGTCACACCACAGGTGAAAAGTGCAGAGATGAAAAGGGGATGGGTGACCACCAGATGGATTAAAAGCACCAGGCAGGTACCGCATCGGTCCCCTGGGCCTCTGCCTCTTTCTAACAGATTTTCCATTCTGAATATTGCCTGAGGAGAGGATTTCTTAGGGGATTGTCCCAAGACCCAATTCTGTGGCACCAGGAGTGGCTCAGCTGCATAGCGGGAGGAGAAAAACAGAAGTGGGAGATCAACAGTGGTAGGGGATCGTTTCGTAAAAGTAGCAGGTAGAATCTTCTGTAGCTGCAGACATGACACCAGATGGTATGTTACCTCTCTGGTGCAAAGGTCGAGGATGTGACTAAGCTACCGCAAGGCTTTCTGAAACCATTTTTGAGAGATTGAGAGAAAGAGAAACAGACAACAGGCAGAGATCATGATCCATATTGATGCAACTATTTAGTTAGAAGAGGGATGAGGTTCTGCCAGCGGAATATAGGGAGCTACAAAATAAATTAGGATTTCAAAGGACAGTTATCTCAGGATTACTCCCAGTGCCATTTGCTAGCAAGATGAAGGATAGACCAAATGAAAGTACAGCTGGAGGAATGGTAGCGTATGGGGGAATTTAGATTCTTAAGGCACTGGGGCTGATTTTTGGAAAAGATGGAGCTGTACAAGCTAGATGAGTTGCACGCTAGTTGGACTGGGGCTAAAGCCCTCCAGGAGCATTCACTAGTACGATGGAGAAGGGTTTAAACTAGAGTGGCAGATGGACAGGAATTAAGCAGGAAGGCAAACGTGAGGGAAACAGAGACAGAAATTAAAAACAGAAAAGTGGAAAGCAAAAGTGGAAGACAGTGGAAACAAGAGCAAGCAGCAAACAGGGCTGGAATACAAAAAGAAGTGTAAAAATTTCAAAAAGACAAGCCTAAAAATACTTTATCTGAATGCATGGAGCATTTGCAATAAGGTAGAAAAATTGATGGTGCAAGTAATTGTAAACGATAGCGATGACAGAGACATCCAAAGGTATTCAATCTTTAGGAATGACAGGCAATGTGGAAAAGGAGGTGGTGTGGCGTTATGAGTGAGGATGAAATCAGTGCAAGAGCAAGAAAGGATATTGGTACAGGAAATCTAAAGGTGGGATCAGTCTGAATGGAGCTAAGAAGGAAGAGGGGGTAGGAAACATTAAGGAGAGTCATCTATTGACCTCCAAACAATAGTTGGGAGGTAGGGGGGTGGCCTGAGCAGGAAATTAGATATGCATGTAACAAGGATGCTACAGTAATCATAGGTCATTTTAATATGCATACAGACTGGGCAAACCACATGAGCATTAATACTATGGCGGATGATTTCAGAGTAGGAGTTTTTTTAGACCACTATATTGAGAAACTAATTCAGGGGCAGGCTATTCTAGGTTTGGTTTTGTGCAATGAGAAGGGTTTAATTAATCAACCTGTTGGGAGAGGTCCTTTTGAAAAATATAACCAGAACATGGTAAAATTCTTAATTGGGATAGAAAGTGAAGTAGACCAATTCAAAACTAGGGTCCTAAATCTAAACAACATAAACTACAAAGGTAAGAGGACTGAGTTAATTATGGTCTTGAAACTTAATGGAAAGGCATAACACGTGGACAGACATTGCTTAATATTCAAGGAATGAAAGCATACATGGTAGCAGTAATTCCTTCCTTTTGGGCAAAAGTGCAAAACAGGAAAAGCGGCCCAACTATGCTTAACAAAAGAAATTAAGGATAGCATTAAATCCAAAGAGAAGTCTTTGAAAGTTGCTTTAAAAATGTAGCAAGACTGATTAATGTAAGCAGCTTAGAGTACAGCAAAGGAGCGCCAAAAGTTTGACTCAGACGTAAAACAGTGAGTTATGAAAGTAAACTTGGAAGGATCATAAAAGTTGGCTGTAAAAGGTTTTCTAAGAATATAAAAAAAAGAAAGATTAGTGAAAACAAACAAATCCTTACACTCTGAAATGGTGGAATTGATAAATTGAAAACCAAGGGAATGGCAGCACAATTATTCAACTACTTTTATTCTGTCTTCACAGAAGACACAAATATCTTCCCAGAAGTGCTAGGGAAGCAAGGGTCTTTTAGAAAGGAGGAATTACAAGAGCAGACTATTAGTGCAAAAAAAGTGCTGGAGAAATTACTGGGACTGAAAGCTGAAATCACCAGGGCTTGCCTAAAGATACTGAATCAGGTGGCCATGGAAGTAGCGCATGCATTGGTTAGCATCTTCCAAAATCCTGTATTTTTTGAAACAGTCCCAGCAGGAAAAAGGTGGTAAATGTAACCCTACTGTTTAGAAAAGGAGGGAGGGAAAAAACTGAAATTACAGACAAATTAAACTAACTTCAGTAGTATGGAAAATGCTATTGCGAATGATGCAGTAATACAACCTTTAGAAAATACCAAATGCCTCTAACCATACATCAAACTCTTTCTCCCTAAGAGAGCACACCATCCTTATTCCTGACTCTTAAGTTAAAATAATATCTCCAAGCCAGATGCAGCTGTTTAGTTTATCTTTATAATTATTGTTGGTATGATATCTTATGAACATTGACTCTTTTGGAATGTGATTGACATTAAAGATCAATAGATTAATTGCCCTCAAAAAAGTATATTTTCCAAAAGGATCAAATATTACACTACTAGCTCAATTGGTGACCTCTATGATGAGCAAAGTCAGTGCTGATCAATAAATTGTTTTATGCTGCAGGGTTGGAATAAAACTTCTAATTTTATGCAAGTCAACAGCTAAGTTAATACTTAGTTCACATACCCATACTGTACCATTATATTTTGAGTTCCACAGGAATGAAAATAAGATAGGTGTGTAACAAGCAATGGCTTCAATAAAACCACCTTCACATTGTTATCCAATGGCAAGATTATTTCTTTGCAGATAATTGATTGAAGGAAAAATGTTGGCCACTGGGAAATTTCTCTGTTCCCCAACCCCCGTCATAGGAATTTTAATCATGCACCAAATCAATTTTTTTGGGGAATGGTGCAGGGAGAGGAGAAACAATGGTGGTTGTGGGTCAATTTAACATCTAATCTGGAGAATAGTACCAAATTTATGGCACTTCTATAGCACACTGAAGTATCAGGCAAGACTTTGGGCTGAAATTCTCTCTTGGATTTTAGAAGTGAAAATGTAAAAAGTATTCCACATTTTCAAAGTATCAGAAGAATGAAAATCATGGAAATAGTGCCAATCATTTCACAATCATCTGATCTATAGTCAGAAGTTTGCAAAAAGCTGCTGTCAGATAGTCATGGATTCATACAGCATGGAAACAGACCCTTTGGTTCAAACAGTTCACAACGACTGTAATCCCAAACTAAACTAGTCCCACTTGCCTGCATTTGGCCCATATCTTTCCAAGCATTTCCTATTCATGTACTTATCCAAATGTCTTTTACATGTTATAACTGGACCCGCACCCACCACTTTCTTTGGCAGTTCATTACACACATGAACTACTCTGTGTAGAAAAGGTTGCCCCTCATGTCCTTTTTAAAATTTTCTTCTCTCACCTTAAAAATAGGCCTCCTGGTTTTGAATTTCCCCACCCTAGGGAAAAAACCCTTGCTAATCACCTATCTATGCCCCTCATGATTTTGTAACCTCAAATGTTACCCCTCAACCTCCTACGTGTAGTGATTGTAACAAGGTCAGCCAGGTAGACCTCATAGAATATGAGTTCCTTAATTGGGGCTGTTAATCTAGTCCAATCAGGGACCCATGGCTGACAGACATAAACAGGAGTGTCAAAGCTTCTGTTCACTCTGACAGCGTTTTCTGAGGGAGCTGGATCAGTGTCAACTACTCTCCATGTGTAAATAAAGGGTGACTTGGTGATGGGATACCTCTGTGGAATTATTTCACTATGATCCAGTGAAAAAAGTTCCAGCCAATCTTTATAACTCAAACCCTCCATTCCCAGCAACTTTCTGTTAAATCTTTTCTGAACCATCTCCAATTTAATAATATCCTTCCAAAGCAGGGCAACCAGAACAGCACACAGTACTCCAGCAAAGGCCTCACCAACATCTGTACAACGTCAACATGGCATTCCAATTCCCATACTCAAAGGTCTGAGCAACGAAGACAAGTGTGCTAAAAGCCTTCTTAAACACCCTGTTTACCTGTGACGCAAATTTCAAATAATTATATACCTGAACCCCTAGGCGTCTCTGTTCTACAACACTACTCAAGACCCTACCATTAATTGTATAAGTCCTGCTCCTGTTTGTTTAATCAAATTACATTTATTAAAATTAAACTCCATCTGCCACTCATCAGCCCATTGGCCCAACTGATCAAGATCTTTTTGTAATCTTAGATATCCTTCATCAATTTTGGTGTCATCCGCAACTTACTAACCATGCCTCCTATATTCTCATCCAATCGTTCATATAAATGACCAACAAAAGTCGACCCAGTACTGATCCCTGTGGAACTCTGCTAGTCACAGGCCTCCAGTCCGAAAAACAACCTTCCACCACTACCCCCAGTCTCATACTGTCAAACCAAGGTCCTTGAATGGCATTAAAAAAATGATAACTAAACTTTGTAGGTAAATAGGCAGATTTAGAAAGGATTAAACACACCCTAGGCACTCTTGGCAATGTAAGCCCTGTGTATTTTGATATCTTGCCTTCATTTGAATGCCACAGATGGGTGCTACCTGGTTTACCAGCAATGGACCAGGATACCTGGATTCAAATCCTACCTACTCCAGAAGAGTGTAAAAGCATCTCTGAACAGGTTAATGAAAAAGTATCTATACCGATTATCTAACAAAATATCAACAAGCAATGGGGAAGTGCAAGATGCTGAGGTCCTAAACTATTGGAGGAGCACCCATCATTGGTTATGGACAACCTGCCTATTTTTGCCTGAAGATTACAACTGTGGCCTTATATATAGCACAGGACTCCGATGTTCACATTTAAGAAGCTTGCCATCTGTTTTCGGCAGGCCCACTGCTTCCCTGTTTTGAGATACCCTTCTTGATTCATTAGGATGGTGGCAGTGTCTACCTTCCCCAACGCAACCTTCATTTGTGAGCCACCAACTTTCCAGATGAGAAGGTGGTGGCTGGCAGTTAAAAATCATTCCCTTTAACTTTTAATGGAAAAAGCAATCTAGTATTATAACCAGATGTCACCTGATTTTTCATGAGCAATGCCACAGGAGATCCACAAGTGGATCCAAGCACAAGTGATTACAAATAATCCGTCCATAAAGTTCTGAAAGTCATTTCTTTTGACAGTTAGCAGTCATTTTTTAAGAAAGATATTCTTTCATGTAATTTTAATTGTATTCAAGTAAGTAAAACAAATCTTACAACATGCGCAGAAGATTTTGGAGCGTACAGTTCAGCTTGGCAAAGATATGCTCTACCCAAAAACTGATTGTGAGGAAGTGTTCCCTTGAAATACATATCCAAGCAATCCTGGCTAATGTCACGTTGCTCAAACTAGAAGAGAAAAAGTTCCAGCATTTAGATGAACACAATAACGGGATAAATTTGTAAATGTTACTAAATATGTTGAAACATAATAAATATCAGTCGCAAATAAGAATTGTAATATCCTTTTATTTTCTATCTTCAATTTTGTGGAGATAAAATATTTGAAAATTTGAACTCTAAACACATGTATAGTATAGATTTGGAAGTTGCACTAAATCTAAAATATCATTAGGAATATTTATAAAGAATGAAGTTTCAAATGCTGAAAATACGCAGTCAGGTATTCAGCATCTCGGCTCCAGACCTCTGATAGCTTTAGTCTAAACATGGACAAAAGAAATGAACTCCACAGTGGCAATGATAACCCTTGACATCAAAGCAGCATTTGACTAAGTATAGCATCAAGAAACCATGGCAGCATTGAAGTCAATGGGAAACAGTGGCAACAAGTTTGAAGTCAAACACAAGGAAGCTGTTTTGCTTTGTTCAAGCCAGTCATTTTTTTTTTATTTGTTCATGGGAAGTGAGCATTGCTTGCCCAGGATTTACTGTCCATACCTAATTACCCTGTAGAAGGTGGTGGTGAACAGTCTTCTTGAACTCCTGCAGTTCATTTGGCATAGCTTCACCAAAGTGCTGATAGGAAGGAAGCCCCAGGATTTTGACCCAGTATCAGTGAAGGAACAGCAATATAGTTTCATGTCAGGATGCTATGTGGCCTGCTAGAAATGTGCAAGCAACAATGTTCCTTTAAGGGGGAGAGGTCACTGGTTTGGAAGGCACTACAAAGGAGCCTTGGTGAGTTGCCACAATGCATTGTGTTGATAAATTAAGCCCAACCATGTTTTTGCTTCATAGAATCATACAATAGTTACAGCACAGGAGGCCATTCAGCAAGCCATGAACATGGCTGCTCTCCGCAAAAGCACCTTAATCAGTCCCATTCCCCCACCTTCTCTACATTGCTCTGCAAATTTCTCTCCTCAGATAATTATCCAATTTGCTATTGAAATTATGATTGAATATGACACCATCACTCTCCCTCAATGATCTTCCCTCCATCATAAGAACAATGTTCATTGCTATCATAACCCCTCAGATACCAACATACAGAAAGACCTGGACAACACAGACTGATATCCGGCAAGTAACACTCATGCCATACAAATACCAAGCAATGGCCAGCTTCAACAAGAGAGAATCTAACTCTCTCTCCCCAAATATTCAGCACCATTACTACCATTGGGTCCGAAACCAATAACACAGCAGAGCTGACTACTGAATAGAAGTTTAACTGGACCAGTCATATAAACATAATGGCAATAAAGACAGGTCAGAAACTGGTAGCCCTGAGGTAAGCACTGATGTCACAACACTCTAAAGCCTGACTATCATCTGAAAGATCCAAGTCAGAAGTGTGATGGAATACTCACCATTTGCCTGGATGATGCAGCTTCAACTAAAGGCTCAATATCATTCAACACAAAACAGCCCATTTGATTGGCACATCATTCACTATCTTCAATATGCATTCCCTTCACCACTGGTGCACAATGAAAGCTATATACTATCTACAAGATGCACTTCAACAATTTGCCAGGCCTTCTTCAAAAGCACCTTCCAAATCTGCAATCTTTGAAGTACTATGTTAGAACTCTTACTTATTTTTCATTATTTTTATTTCATTCATAGTCATACAGTCATATAGTCCAACAGATCGACCCCGACCATGCTCCCAAACTAAACTAGTCCCACTTGCCTGTTTTTGGCTCATATCCCTCCAAAACTTTCATATTCATGTACTTATCCAAATGACTTTTAAATGTTGTAATGCCCCTCATGTCCTTTTTAAAACTTTCTCCTCTCACCATAAAAATACGACTTCTAGTTTTGAGCTGTCCCACCCTAGGGAAAAGACCCTCATCATTCATCTTATCTGAGCCCCTCAGGATTTTATAAACCTCAATGAGATCACTCCTTAACCTCCCAGGCACCAAAGAAAAAAGTCCCAGCCTATCCAGCCTTTCCTCATAACTCAATTCCTCCATTCCCGGCAACATCTTGTTAAGTCTTTTCTGAACCCTCTCCAATTTAACAATATCCTTTCTATAGAAGGTGGTCCAGACTGCACACTGTACTCCAGAAGAGGTTTCACCAATATCCTGTACAACCTCAACATGACGTTCCAACTCCTATATTCAAAGGTCTGAACAATGAAGGCGAGCTTGCTTTTATCAATTTTGGATTTCAAGCTGTGAACTGACATCTGTGAGCTGAAGACGACTTTTGGACGATGAGCTTGCACTAAAGAAAACAAAACAACCAAATTTGTGAGGTTTATGAGAACAGGCCTGTAGGTAATTGCAGGTTGATTCTTGATTAAAAGAATTCCTTGGACACTTCACCTCTGGAATGGCATTACGCATAAACAGCTGTTTGGCCATTAACAAGGTCAGTACCTGGGAACTGATGCCAGCAAGTCTCGAAGGGAAGATGGTGATTCCGAGGTAGGGACCAGAGTTTCAAACTGGTTTTTGGGTTGGGTTGGGTTTCTGAGTTGGGTTGGGTTTCTGAGATAAGGAGTTTGGCTGTTGATGCTATAGCATAAATATTTGAAAGCTCCCAGCCTAACCTCCCGTTATCAGCTATTGGAAGTTCAGAGAATAGAAACTACATAATAGTTACAAGTATCACTGACTTCCTCAGAGTGAATTGCAAAGATATCCCTGATCATCATCATCAGAAAATTAACCAAGAAACAATCATCTTATGCCTGTGGAATAAAGCATGAAGAAAACCACTTAAGCAATATGGTGAGTTTTGACATTTTCTTTTATTTTTCCTTTAACTGCATTTGTTTGTCTGTCTGACTTTTATGTGAATGGGCCTGATAAAAAGGTTATTGGGCTTAAATCATCGACATCACTTAGATTAATTTATTGTTTAATTTTGCTCTGCTAAAGTAACTGTATTGTTAATTATTTGTTAACTATTTTGTTTAAGCTACAAACCTGGTGTCTAGAATTGATCATACAGAGAGTCCGGGATTTGTTATTCAGAAAATCTGATTAACGACTGTTGTTGTTAATTTTAAGGGTTTAATTTTACTGTTTTATGAATAGAGAGGTAGAAAGGTTTATTTGATTCACCTATGAGTCTCCCTGTCGCAACAACTTTGAGAGGTAAGGAAGAGGTGCATTAGGAACATTACAACTTGCAAGTTCCCCTGCAGGTTCTCCTACAAGTACCTGAAATAGTGAGAAGCTAGGAACTGTTGAACTTCAAAGGGAGTTGGGCTTCCTTGTTTGTTAGTCACAAAGTTAACATTCAGGTACAACAAGCAATTAAGTAAGCAAATGATATGTTGAATAGATAATAAAAGGTGTCTTACTGCAGTTATGTGAAGACTTAGTGATGTTAAGCCATACTTAGAATAGTGTGCAGTTTTGATCTCCTTACCAACTGGAAAATTTATCTGCCAAGAAAATGAATGTCCATCAAACTAATTCTTGGGATAAAGAGATTGTCCTACGAGATTGGACCTTTATTCTCTGGAATTTATTCTCTGAAATTCTTAACAGGGCTCAACAGGCTAGATGCTTTCCCTTGTGTAAGGGATCTAGAACCAGGCAACACAGTTGCAGAACTAAAATGGGACATTTCTTCTCTCAGCAGTAGTGAATCTTTGGAGTTCTCAGGCACAAAAGGCAAGAGAAGCTCAGTCATTCAGTATGTTCAAGATTGAGATTGATAGATTTCTACATATTAAAAACATCAAGGGAGGCAGGGATAATGCAGGAAAGTCAACGTCAATCTTATTCTGATTGAATGGTAGAGTAAGCTTGTAAGTATTCCTGCTCTTTTTTTACGTCCTTATGTAAGTCACACACCACATCCTCACTTAGAACTATATCACCATTTCTTCACTGTCAATGGGACAAAAACCTAAATCCCTTCCAGCCACGCTGAAGGTATCCTAACATCACACGAACAGTAGCAGCTCAAAATAGTGACTCACCACCACCTAATCAATGGCAATTAGAGTTAGCAACAAATGCTGGTCTTGCTAATATATGACTAATAAAAGAAATGCATCATAATCAGCTAATATTGCAGTAGAAGGATAAACATCTGCACATTTCCAGTCTTAAACTGAGACAAAGATATCAATATCCAGAGTGAAAAACAGCATCATTTTATATTGATTGCAGATGTCTCACTACCTGTAGTGCAAGTTCTGCACAAAGCACATACAAATCCGGGCTAACAGTTTGCACTCCAGCCAGCGTTGGTCTCTCTTCAGTGGCTACTTTTATTAAACCATAAGCTTTTTTCAAAATGCTGAAATCTAAAACAAAATTAAAAAGGAAAAAAATATTTGATATATACAGAAGTGGTTAAACATTTCAAAACACTCCTTGCAGGTAATATGATCCTTACAATAAACAAATTTCTACCTGCATTAAATAGGATAAGAAAGAATGCCATCACAAAGATATTACACGTTCACTCAGTAATATCAGTGACAGCTACTTATTGGCCAATTGTTTGGCATTTTAGATAATTTCTCTCGTTTCCTTATTTGGATCTTGCTGTCCAAGGTACTGTGAAAATTAAGTGGATAGAATATTAACAGGGATCAGCAAATACCATACTGATTTCAATATTACAAGATATTCAGGTATATTGCAGGTTAATTCATTACATGGAAGCAAGTGACCTCTGCTTCACTCTCATTCAGTGTCATTATTGCTACTTATGCATTTTTCAACCATTGCATTAAATCAGAAGCTTTATTAACGTTTTGAATATCCATTTGAATAGTTGACACATTTTAGTGTTCAAATCTTTTGCTGTATCTTTATCTCAAATCATTCGGCATTCATACACACTTTACAATACAACAAAGTACTAGTATTAAACACCAAATACCTCAATAACTAACACCTCTCAAAATGTGGGCAACAGAAAAGCGTTGATCTGTTAACTCTCTACCGCCCTTCAAATGCTAGCAATCACAAAATGAGTTATCCTCTCATACCATATAACCTGTGTCCATTCTGATTTCACATTTATACAAACTGGTATAGTGAGGAGCAGTCAAACAAGGAAAACTGAAACAATACATGATAAGTTGCCACCAGGAGGCAGTCTCATATACTGTTTGTAATTCACAATGTTTCAAACCAGGATTGGTTCAGATGAGAGTTTGTTATGCTGTTGAATTCTTTTCTTAATGTAATGAGCAAATAGATGGTAGTAAGGGGAGTTGAACTTCTGTTCAGGCAGTAGTGTGTGCTTTAGAGGCACTTCACTGCAGGTTTTAGAGTCATGGTGAAACTACTTAAATCTGCGTCGAGCATACAGTTGCTGTGAATTTAGAGCTGCCATAACCACCAGAGGAAATGTTTAGTTCAGAATTCTCACAGCCCACTTTACACTCCCACATTTTACTGCAACTTTGAGACAGTTTCAACAAGACAACCTTGTTAAAGCTTTGGAGTAAGTAAACACAGGGAATCAGAGCTGATACTTTAGTGAGCAAGCAACCGGGAAACCCCTAACCACACCAACAGGCCCTCCTCTCCCTCCCACACCCTGCACTTCACCCCAACAATTGGATGAGCAACAGGCCACTTTGTTGTATACATACAGACAGACAAGGAGTAGTTGGTCATACCCTCAAGACCACACCACCATTCAATAAGATGAGGTTGTATGAATCATAGATTCCCTACAGTGCAGACAGAGGCCATTTGGCCCATCAAGTCCACACTGACTCTCCAAACAGCATCCCACCCAGACCCAGTCTCCTTACCCTAGCCCTGTAACCCCACATCTACCCTGACTAATCCATCGAACCTGCCCATCCCTGGGCACCAGGGAGGCAATTTACCATGGCCAATTCACCTAAACTGCACATCTTTCAGCTGTGGGTGAAAACCAAAGCACCCCACAGGAACCCACGCAGACACGGGAAGAATATGCAAACTCCACACAGTCACCCGAGGCTGGAATTGGACCAGAGTTCTTGGTGCTGTGAGGCAGCAGTGCTAACCACTGAGCCACCGTGCCTCGTCTATGAGGGGTTGTCTGAGCTGTTGCACACATGAAATAAGTTTGTTGTCACAAACCTCTTTTAGCGTACAGAACTACAGATTCTAATTACACTCATGCAGAGGAGGAAATCTAATGTCCACTGAGGAGAAACTCTTGTCTTAAACAAAAGATGGTTTATTGTAGGTTGGCAACTAAGTACGATGTTACACTGACATGGCAGGTATTGTTACAGAGACTATGAGAAGGACCAGGATGGTCAGTCTTACTCCTTCAAGATCCTCAGCTGACCAGGTTCATATGATGTCATCATACTGGATAGTGGCTAAGGAACTCTTAGCACTAACCTTTTCAGACCTTTATGCATGAGATCTTTATGTCTTTATACAACATTCACCCCCAAATTTTACTTCTAATTATTATCATACATTTGTGCATATATTTATCACAACCACATCCCTCCTCAAATCTCTGATTTCAAAATTCTAGATGTTTCACTATTTTCCCAAAACACATCCTCTTCAGACTCAGAAGGTTGGTAGATCTCTGAGTTTAAGACTGTTGACTTTGATTTTGTTGCTGACAATGAAAGGGTAGGAAGTCCTTTTTGGGATGGAGATCATTTAATATCTCATATTTCCTTCGTGGAGGACATCTTTCCTGCTCAAAGAGGCAATTGCTCCATTGCGACACATATAAGGCCTTTAAGTATTTCCTTAGAGCAGGACAGTTGTACTGTTAAGACAGGCCATTTCCCTTCTATAGTATCCTGGATTATTAAATCAGGCAATTTCTTCCTGGCTGTATCCTAGATCTATGTACATTGGTTATCACTTCTCAGAGGTGGCTTCCATTGGGTTCTATGCACCATATCATCAATCTGAGTCAGATATTTATTTTCAATGTCAATAAGTCTGTGAAGTGCATAGACTCTTCAATTTGTTGATTGGTTTAGATTCTTTCATTCTGCCTCAGTAATTATGTATTTGTGAATTTATTTATTTGAGGATTTTTTTTGGTTGGTGTGATCTCTTTGACCGGTACTGAGGATTCTTCTTGGAATGATAAAGAAATTAAATTTTCAGTTTAAACTTGCACCTTACAAATCACTTCCACATCTAACATTAGATTTAAATCAGTCATAAACATTTGTGCACCAAACTGTGCTGTATACTGATTTACCTCAATGAGTGCAAGAAGGGTATACTGCTCATTAGCTATCCAGTTGCTAGTGTTTACTTATAAACTTTCTGAACTATCTTCAGTGTTGGTAATAATGAAAATCATTCCCGGCCACCCTGTGCAGTGCAGGCTCCCAACTGGGCTATGATATCTTCAATATCTCTGGAGATTGCAGACCACAACACCGCTGACCAAGCTCTAGCTCTGCACCCAACAATCTCCAAACATCTTTGGTGTTTCCTTTCCAGGCCAGCTTCCCAAAGTGAAGCTGGAACTTATCTTCTATCATACACCAATATGTCAGCCATAACCGTAAAATGCTTTTGGTGCTCAAACCTTTGAAATAACACCAATGAATAGTGAGATATTTTGGTCTCTTTCTGCTCCTGTCATATTTGGTTAAGCCAATTGTGGCATAATGGCCACCATCTCTTTTCGACAGCACAAGACAAATGTTGTAGGCCATTATAGATAATTTCAGTGGATTCTGTCGTTTGCTTCGGTTCTGCCATGAATCTAGGGAGGTCTATAAAATCTTCTACTAGCTGTATTTTGACTGTTTTTTTTCTTGATTCACTGTTTCTTAACCAACTGTTCCTGTTCCTGTTGTATCAGGACTGCGTTTTCCATGACCAGTTATTTCTTGACTTTAACTAGTTTAACTCCTGCATATAAAGAAAACTGAGGTCAAGACAAGCATTCAAACTTTACTCATCATCCCAACGGCTCTTCTTGGAGTTAATCTCCCTAGAGTTTTGACTGCAATAAATTTGACCAAAAACTCATCAGCAATTCCATCAACAATTCTGTCTATTGTGACTTTGGACTTTAAACAGTCATAGTTGGATGTGTAGAGATCATTAATCAAATTGTCTATGGATTCCCCTGCATGCTGAACTCTTCTGTTAAATCTTGTTTATTTGTTGAGGTTAAAGTAATTGTTAAAGAATTTCAGTACTTTTTCAAAAGCATCCATTACGTCTTTCACACCTTGACAAGATACAAAGTCATTAGCTACGCTCTGAATTGTACATAAAAGTGCATTAGCTCCTCCACTTCTAGGTCAATATCTATTTTTAGAAACTATGCTATCTCTGAAGAATTGTTTCCTCCAAGATGTAAAACTATAGTCTATGTGGCCCATCTCTGAAATTACATTTTCCTGGTAATACTATTTCTGATTCCATGTCTTGCTAATAAGATTATTTATTTTCTTTACTTAAAAGGTTTTTAATTTCCCATGAATAGCACAAAGCTACACTGTGCTACTGTGCCAGAGAACGTCTTCATGATGCCTGTTCATTGTAAGAGCAGTTTCCAATCTGTGCTGTAAGAACATTTTTTTTTGGTTTATTTAACAAGCCTATAAAATTGGGCCATTTTTAAAAGCTTTCCCTGTCCATCATGGATTTTAATTTTACTCACTGAGTCCTCGTTCGCTCTCGAGATAAACACCAAC